AGTTTTTGTTTTTAGAGTATTATGAACTCATGGATTTATACTTCCAATATTTCTCAGTCCATTACACTTATTATCTTTATTGATGCCCAGGTTGTCCATCTTCGGCCATGGGGTGTTTGTTCAAGTTGACTCCTGAGACGTTTTATTATGGCCGTTAGAGTCTTTGGTAGCTTCCTTGCTTTCTAGTATGACAAGTTGTTCCTGGCTCATATTTCTTCCTATCCCAGACCTGGAATCAGCCATTTCTCCAAGGACTTCTGGTTTATTTTAGTGGTAAATGGTATTTGGAGGTATTTATCTGGGTAGTAGGTTGGTTATTACTGGGTTGGTCATTGTTCTAGGCTTTTTCATTGGTTAAAGCTAGGATAATTATTTTCTTTTTAAAAATGAAATACATTCTAAGTTCATGCTGATACTTTCTATTCGGTTTCTACTTAACATCAATTGTCCATTTACCGTATTTCCCCATGTATAAGATGCACCCTTTTTCGAAAAATTTGGGGTCTAAAAACTGGGTGTGTCTTATACAGTGGTTGTAGATTTTTTTACTTGTATTTCCCACTGAGGATGAGGCAATATATGAAGACAGTGATTCCTCATCAGACACACATGAGGACAAGCTAATGGTTGGGAGTTTTGACAGTGATGAGGAGTTGTATGAATTTTATGATGACTAAAACTTGAGTTCAATAACTTTATGTAATACATTTTTTTTTTCAAATTTCAGGCCCCAAAATTAAGGTGCGTCTTATACATGGGAGCGTCTTATACATGGGGAAATATGGTGTATCTTCCGTCAAAAATCTCAGTCATCAACCATACTAACATAATTACTCATTTATTTTGGCTCAGGATACACCACAAGTCTCAAAATTAACATTACCATCAACTAAAAGATTTGTGAAAATAGCTATTTTTTTCTTTTTTTTTCTTTGGTTCTTGGCAAAAATCTCATGATTTTAAGGTCATTTGGAATGTTTCCTCTTTGTGGGTTTTATAGCCACCAAGTCTGTACACAAGTCCATTTGTTTCATTTTACTTTTTATTTTAGGGGTTACCTTTTTTTGTATTATTTAATTTCATTTTGTAATTGTAAAATATATTTACATGGTTTTAATATCAAATCTCAAAATAAAAAGATATAGTCAGAAGTCTAGTTTCTTTCTCTTGTCTCTTTCACTCCAATCCCTCGCTGTTCTGTAGGTTTCTATTTAAACAATTTCATAATTTATCCTTCCATTGTTTTTTTAATAAGGAAATACACCTATAGAGTTATAACCACCCCTTTTTAAATAGGTAGCATTCTACATAAACTTTTCTTCCCCTTGCTTTTTTACTCTTTATGATTTTTATCTATATACTGGAGATGATTAGGATATTTTAAACAGTAACCTGTCAGATTAAGATAACAATAGAAATGTCCACTGGACTGTTAACAAGGAAGCTACACCCTTAGACAACAAAATATCCAGTCCACTCCATGGGCAGAGGCGATACATGTTTGGATAAGGCACAGTGGTGAGGTAGTCGGGCCGGCCTTCCCAGCTCACCTCCTGTTTACATTCTGGCCAGGTGTCAGTGTTGGCACCTGGCTCTGTTTCTCTGAATAATGATAGGCTGTGCTGAGTAACAGCTCTTGGGCATTCTGCCTCTTCCCGGAGTACCTGGGGCCGTAGCCATTCAGCGTGTGGCAGCAGAGACCCCAGGGCAGTGGTCTAGAGCACTCCTTCCCCTTCAGGACCGTTCTAGAAGCTGCTTTGTCAAAACAAGGAGGCTGTGGCTTCATGCTCAGCAGATCTCTAGTGAATGGCTCTCTTCTTTCCCTGCATGTACTAGAGAGAACTTAATGATTTCATGCAGCTTGTGGCTTCACTGGGAGTTTTTACAGCCTTAGTTGTGTAGTTAATAGCAGAGCTTTGGCAGTATGGCAGGTACCACATGGATTTGTGGCAAGTTACACTTAATTTGAAAGTCTCTTGACTGATCACACCACTGAGATCTAGAAATTAAAGTAAGAGTGAGGATTTAAGAAATGTATAAACAGCCCTGCTAGGTAAAGCATATTTTAAAATTTAAGAAGTTTTTGTCCAGTTTATGGTTTCAATCGAATGTATTTTTAACACTGCAACAAAATAACACTTGAAGCTCCTCCCCTGTTGGTTACTACTCATTGAATACTTGCCATTCCAAAGATACAAACCCTGTATCCCCTGTCAGATTTACAGCTCCCCACCAAACTTTTTTCGCATTGTCATTTCAGCTGGGTAACATAGTAGTGCATCTTCTAATGCGAAATCAGTTGTAAATTCATCTTCTGGTTCTTTACATTAAACTGAATTAGCCATTTTAAAGGATTGATTTTTTTTTATTATTACACTTAAAAATGATGAATTATTTATGTTATCTTGTCTGCTAAACTAGATTATGACAGTTTGAGTGTAGCATTCTTCATTTAAAACACTTGTAGTTTGAGATTACAAACATATTAGCAAAATACAATCATCTCAATTTGGGGAAAAAAAGACAGCTTCTATTTACTAGTGTTGTGGCAGGGGATAAAATTACCTACTCCCAGAGACCTATGGGGTTGATCTTAACTATTAATTTCTTAAGACCTGTTCCTATATTTTACTCTGGCCCTGCCTACTAAGAATTCTCAGTACAAACATGAGGGGGGAAAGAATTGCTATAAGCCAGGCTTAAGTTAATCTTTAATCATTTAAAAACTTTGCTTCAGAATTTCTAAAGTATAAATTACCTGTCTCTTGAGTGCCTAGTTTCTATAATAGGGTAAAACCTAAACAATCCTGAGAATATGTATGTGTATGTGTGCATGCAGACTTGTCAGTTATCACTGTATATGGAAAACTGAGGCCAGGATGCAAGGTAAAAGAGCCACATTCAAGACAGAGAAGATGTCCTTTTAGTCCTGGGATATCAGGGTCATTTGTTGCCCTGGGCCCTGGGCCCTGTGATATCAGGGCAATAAGTCATCTGTTTTGTTGTTTCTGACTCCCTCAGAACTTGGAAAGTGGATCCTTGATAGAACACTTGTTAGGTTTGGCGAGGACGTATTTCCCTCATGTAAATTCTAGAGATGATGATGATGATGAGTCCATTCTTACTTTTGGAGACAGAGCAGAGCAGGCTGGCTCTAGCAAAACACATGAGAATCATAGCAGCATCTTCACTTGGTTGGAGTTTGTAAGCACATGATTACTACCTCTGTCAACAGAGATATGAGGCACTATCGTTTTACTGTATTTGCACATGCTTTGGTGGCTAGGAGGGCTGTCAGGGATGGCCCTGTTACAGTGAACTCTGACCTCTCCATGGTAACCACCTTGGATGTTGCGGGGTGGAATGGAGAATCTGGTTCTTGTGCCCCATCCTATACACCACCATCTTTATTCCTCCCCAGCTTAATAATCATTATCTTAAGCTCCTTAGTGCAAAGTGTTAGACTCTCAGTAGACTGTAGAAATTATGTTTTTTATGCTGGGTGATTGAGTAATAACAATACTACCGTTTTAATGTCAATATGAATTTGTCTCTTCTTGTCTGAAACCTTAATTGAGCAAGTTCAGACTCAGGGCTTAGAGCCTCCTATTCCTTTCTCAAGAGCAGGCTCTTTTTCATACACACACCCTTTGGTTTTATTCCTTTTCTTCTAGGCTTGTTTTCTCGTGTTCTTTCATTTTTATTTTTTATTAGTTAATATCTGGTATAAAGACAAAATGTAGATTGTTTCTTACAAATTCCGTCTAAAAGTTTTCTAGCATAGAATAAACTGGCTATTTTGTTGTGTATGTATGGGATATGGGGTTGCTGGTTAGTTCTTATAAGGCCCCACCCACTAAATGGACCTTACTGTGTGTGTATATGTACGCGTGTTGTCACTGGTTCCTGGCAGAATTGGAATTAACAGCAGCATAATTATCAGGGACTCCTTTTTATAGGAAAAGATCTTCAAAGCTAACCAGGTGTTTCTTTTTTTGAGGCTTTCTCCTTATAATCCTTACCTACTCATTTTGACCCTGACCTTAGACTTAAGTTAATTTTTTAAAAGGTTTGATAAATTTTGTTAACAAGTACAAGCCTGTCTCTTAAAGTGTCCATAATATATCTGGTCTTAGCTAAGAGTCATGAAAAAATTTAGCAAGTTTTTACTTTTAAAGAAACAAATTTTAAGTACAGCAGTGTCATTTGGTTTTCAAAATGGAACTTGAGTCCCTCTAGTGGATAGAGTATAATTCACTTTCCAAACTTGAAGTAGAAACATGGCAATCTTGAATTATGTGGAACCAGCTTTCAAATCCATTGTTCTCATCGGCACTGGTGTCCTCTCTCCCCAGTTGAGGGGCAGTGCTTAGCTTGACTCATTAGCCAAGATGCAGCAGTCCTCCTCTGCTGCCCATGTGATCTCAGTGCCCCGGTCATTCCTAGCATGTGATCTCACAAGCTGGGGCTCACCAGCCGCTTTCTTTCAAGCCTCAGCAAATATAAACTCAGACTACAAGTCGGTGATTTTTAAGCTGTGCAGTTCTTTATAGAAAAGAACACGGTGCCCCCAGGGTCTTTGAGTTGCGATGAAGGAATTAATTACACAGGCCTACTGGGGGCACAACAGGTTGATCAAGGATATTTAGTCATTGGAGGAGTTCCATACTGATGATAGCCAGAACACCGGAACGTGGTATGGCAGAAAGAACTTGGGTTTGGGGTTCAAATCCCAAGTTTGCACTTAGTAGCAGTGTGACCTTGAGCTGGTTACAAAGCCTCTCTGTATCTTAGTTTTCCCTTCTGTAAAATGCAGAGATGATGATCCCTATGTTTCAGGGTTGTTTTAATAAAACTAAACATGCAAAGAAAGGTCTTTGTGTTTTTAGTGCTGTGTAATTGGTAGCAGAAGTCATGGAAATTTCCCTAGCTGAGTTCATTTTATAATGCATGGGATTTAATTGTTTGGATAAGTTTCCCCTGCCTTCTTTTTTTTTCAGTCACCACCAAGTAAGCGAAGAAAATTAGAGAAGCCAAGGAAACCCATTACATTTGTGGTGCTGGAGTCTGTGATGAAAGAATTATCCCTCAAAGCATCGCCTCTGGGCTCTGAGACAGTGGAAGGCATAGTAGTTGTGACGACATGGATTGAAAAAATTCTCACCGATCTGAAGGTAACCTGGTTACGCACATTGAAGAAGTACTTATGATAATCTCTTTTTTTCTTTTCTTCTTTTTTAAAGGAGTTTTGAGGGTAGAAAATTGATTTCCTATAAAATTCTGTTTTTTTTCTCCAAATAGGTTGAGCATAAACGAGTTCCCTGTGGAAAAGGGGAAGTTAGCCTTTTCCTAACAGCCGTAGAAAACTCCTGGATTCATTTAAGGAGAAAGAAAAGAGAACGAGTGAGACAGTTGAGAGAAGTTCCCCGTGCTCCTGAGGACGTCATCCAAGCCTTGGAAGAGAAAAGGTTCACTCCCAAAGAGCCTGGCCCAGACCTGGCCCCAGGCCCCCAGGAAAGTGCCCTGTGCGGGCCTGCTCTGTGGGAAGGCGAGTCTGGTACTGTTGAGGGCTTTGGCCCAAACCAGGACTCGCTTTCCCAGGAAGAAAACCCAGAACCTATGGAAGATGAAAGGAGTGAGGAAAAGGGAGAGATGGAGGTTTTGGAAAGTTGTAAAGGCTCTAGCAATGGAGCCGAGGACCGAGAGGCTTCTGAGCAGTTCAGCCCTCCAGTGTCTGAAAAAGGGAACCATCTCCAAGGAGTGGCCGGACATTACCTATTCAAGTGTCTGATAAACGTTAAGAAGGAGGTAGATGACGCCTTGGTTGAAATGCATTGGGTCGAGGGCCAGAACAGGGATTTGATGAACCAGCTTTGTACCTATATACGTAACCAAATTTTCAGGCTTGTTGCCAGTTAACTCCAGACTTCTTGCACGGTTGGGAAGTTCTGTAAAGCAGCTTGCTGTGGAGTGGCAAGAGGAATTCTGCCATTGGTAGTGTTATTAGAAATTATCTTTAAAAATCAAAACAAATTAATCCATTTTTAAACCTCCCCCCCCCTTTTTTTTTTAAAGTCACAGGGCATTGTAGTATGGTAGTTCAAGAGGAAGAATTGTGGGTATCAGCATCAGCAGAAAGCCATCAGAAAACTCATAAGGGATTTAAACCTGACTTAAAGTGATCACCTTAGCTTTAGACTGCTTCTCTGAGGCCAAAAGGATTATTTTTGGAATCTGGTTTGGGCCAGAACTATACACAGCCTCGTGCTTTCTCTGTCACTCACGGTTGCTTCTGGAGGAGAGGTAGTTTTCTCATTTCCCCACATGGAGGTAGTTGGGCCCTGTACCCTCTTCTACGGTTGCCTTGAAGACCGAAGACTCTCTCTGGGTACATAAGCTTGATTACTCCTCTGTCAGTCCTGAGGAAAGAACTGGCCTGATGGGAGGTGGTGGGAATGTCGGAGAGAGATAACTAGCAGTGCCAGAAGAAGGGCTGGTCTGGGGAGTGCCTGGAACCTTCACATTCCCAACTCATGGCTGTTTTGATGTTGCTCATTTCAGAAACAGAATTAGGTAAGCAAAACTCCCAGATGTAACTGAGAGACACAACAGAAGGAAGCCATACCCCTACCTCCAACCTGTTGAAAGTACTGTTTTGTAGCAGTTTTACTAGTGTGTTACATGTGAAGTGGAACTTTTGTTTTTAATATAAGAGTATTCAGAATTGAAAACTGTTGATCGTATTTGAACCCCCCTGTGATTGGGGAAAATATTTTCTTGGCTTTGAATGGGTAAATGATTATAGAAATAGGAAATGCAGTGAGATAGTTATATGTAGTAGGTTGCTTAAGAAATTCTCATTACTGGCATATAAGTTGTAGCTGATCAAATACTTCTTTTTGTGGGTTCCTTTGTTATCCCCTCTGTGCTTACCTGTTAGCATAGGAGAGCTCTGAGGCCAGGGTAATCGTGTTCTTAAAACATGTTTCTAATTTGAGTGTCAGGGCTCTGCAGAATGCCTCTGGAAAAGGAGTCTCTCTCTCTTTTTTGTTGTTGTTTTCATGGTATTTCGGTTACCCTCTGCTGTGCTTGACTTTCACAGCCTGATTTTATACCAGCAGCTTAGGGTTCTTTCTAGACTGAAATTTTTGAGGATGGTGCCAGAACTCCTTGTTATCTGCAAGGAAGACGGGCTGAGTAACTAAGCCATACTTGTGAAAGGTGGCTATTGGTTAGGGCAGAGTACTGATGACCTTGGCATATTTTGGCAGCAGCAAGACCAGGCCCTCAGCAAAGAAACAGGAAACGAAAATAGGACCATATTATACCTCCCTGTGGCAGTGGAGACAGAGCTGCCGAAGATAACATATTAACCAATCAGTGTTCTTAACTTGGTCTGCGACCCTCTAGAGAATCCATAAACCTCCTGGATGGTTTCCAAAAGCTCTGTGAGCGCGCGCGCGCGCGCGCCTGAAGAGAAAGGTTCCTGACTTAGAGAAAGGGGTCAGTAACCCACTGAGGTTAGGAACTACTGTTCTAGTCCATCCTCTCATCTGACAGGATGAGGAAACCAATGTATAGGGTCGCACTGAGCCAATCCATGGCTGTGGCATCCTCCTGTCTGGGTCCTCCTCCTGCTGTACCCACCCACCTTGTCCTGCCCTACTTACCTCAGATGACACATTGGAGTCATATGCCAGACCCAAACCTAAGTTTCTATCTTGATAGAACTTTAGGATAATTGAGTTAGGTGGCAACTATTCATTTAATTAATAGTAAGTATTGTTTGCTTCATTAAAAAAGAGTAGCAGGTGCACATTAAAATTTTGAAAAGTGGAGGTAGAAAATGGCAACAAAGTCTCAACCTTCTCCAACACAACCACTACTGGTATTTTAGTATTTCCTTCTTTAGATGGGGTATGTGATTGTGTGGGTTTCCCTTTGGTCTACTCATGCTGTGCTATGCTTTCTTTGCTTTCATGATATGTTTTCTTTATTTTTATTATTTCAGTTTTATATTCTGCTTTTTTCATTTAACATCTTATAAGTATTTTTCCACATGATAACAGTAGTGTGTTTATTTACACTCCTTGCCTGTTCAAAATGCATTTCAGGCACAATATTAGCCTTTGTTTAAGTCTAGTAGGTACTTAAGAGAGATTCCCAGAGAAAATGCTGTGTAACTGGAGGCACAGTTACTGTGTAACTGTGTCTCTGTGTGTTTCAGTGCCCCAGGTTTAAGGCTTGGTGTCATGGAAGAGGTTTTAATAGGTTTTAAGTTAATGTCCTTAGAGTTTGAAAAGTATGTGACGGGGTAGCTTCCACTACTAGAGCTGTGAGTGCCTTCTTTGCATTTGGATGTCTTCATTTCCTTTTCTGAGAAGAACAGTTTATTTCTATCTCATGAGAGAACATTGAAAACATTTTTAAAAGACATCCAAAAATTCTTGTAGTTATGCATATACTTTATAATTATGTGATACTTGATAGCATATATAAACCTCTGGCATAGGGGGAAAAGGATTTTTTTTTCTTTTTAAAGAAATAGGTTATTGACCATGTATCATAAGGTTGAAGGATACTTGCCTTAAATGTCTGGAGGTCAAGTTCATGTTGATGGATTGGTATGGAATTAAATATTTGTGGTATTATCTTAAATCCTATCCTGGTCCCTGGCACTGGCTTCTGATCTCCTGATAACTAAAGTGGGAACAGAAGCTGCACTTGTTTTCCAAGGAGGACTAAAGCTGCTTTTGTTCTTTGGAATCTGCTGTGCTTCCAACAGTTTGGTTCCCTTATCCGCATCCTCTCCTGACTACTTACTCACTTACCAAAGCACTGCCGCACATCCTAGCAGGGTTGGCGTCTCCGCGGTAGTTTCAGCTAATCTTAGGGGTTCATATTGAGTACTTAAAACTTTAGTATATATTATGTAAGACATGAAACCTCTCCTCTAGATAGAAATCAATGCATACCATGTGAGCACACCAACTTCCAAGCCCTGACAGGTAATAAAACTGCAAGGTGTGGAAAACCGAGGCCTCTTAAAAGAAGGGAGTAGCCCCTCCATCTTACTTAAACCACAGCATTTTCCTCTGCAGCCACACGGGGGCACTTGCGGCCCTTTTATCAAGCGCCTTAACTGCACTGTGGGAATGGATAAAATTGTGTCCTTGGTATTTTCTTGAAATATCCGGTTGCTACCCAGATAAATATTTTTATGTAAATAAGTACATTTTCACATAAATAAAATCTGAAAAATAAAAGTATAAAGAATTAAAAATCTATCCCATGGTCTTTTTATCTGGGCATAATCTTTCAACCTATTTATGTTTCTTTATGGTCCCAGTTGACTATTTTTTTCTTTTCTTTCCATCTGTCCTGCTACTCTAGAATATATCCAGGTTGGGTCAGTCCTTTGGGTCAACTTTTTATTGGTATCTAGTTAAATGGGGTACTAGATGGGGATGTTTAGTAATCTTAAACAGTAACTTTTCAAAAGCCTTGGATGTCTTCATTATATTACTCTATGTTCCAGGAAGAGTAATATAGAGAGCTCTAAGAAAGAAACTGTTTTCAATGTTCTGTTGTCTTTTAATTCTTGTTTTGGTTTATCTGGCTGGCTGACTAGCATGCATGTAATATGTTGTTTACATCAAAAATTGGCACAGTTGGTTCTGTCTTGTGTGTATTATATACACAGTTAGCTGGGCCTTCTGTCCCACAAGGGGTGTTTCTGTGTAGAGCGTGTATTTTGCTGACCTGGGGGTCTGTGTGACTCAAGGAGAAGTTTCATCTTCCTTTAATTTTATGGCACAGAATCCGATGGTACAGGTGGCCGGCCACCCAACAGATTTGCACATTAGGAGGAGGAAGGTCCAGTTTGGAAAGCTAAGGAGCCCTCTGGGAGTAGGAAAGCCTCAAAGGTACAGCAGCTCTACAGCCATCACGAGGCACCCCTGGGAAAAGGACCGACCATATTTTTTAGGGAAGTTGGTGCTTGGGAGCTTTGGTTTGCTAAATGAGCAGTAGTAACCCCAGTAAAACTTGAAAGAGGCCTACTAGTGGAATGAATTGGCTGCGGTCCTGGAGCAGGGCATTGATGGTCTCAAACGTTTCTAATGCTCCCAAGTACAAACCTCTTGGTGCTTGTGCCAACACAGTATTAGAAAGCCCTACATGGGGCTCCCCTACTAGCAGCAGGGCCTCTCACACATGTCAGAGTTCCGACTCTGCTCTGTAAAGACACTCAAGTCCTCTGCTGTGACTCACCCAAATGACTAAAACAGCAGTTTATATTTTAATTGCTGGTTGGAACAGCTAATGCTGCCTTTGGAGGCTGTGCTTTTACTCCGGGGGGGGGGGCTGTGTTGTGACTGAGGGAAGGCCTTGTACTGCCGAATGCCCTTTGAGGTGTAGTCTGTCTGCCTGTGTCAGCTCAAGCAGAAACATCAGGGACTCTGGGCTCTCCTCAGGAAAGTGGAGGATCACTATTATGAGCCAGGGAACTGAGATAAGAAGGAATGGACCAGAAAGTGCCGGTGAACTTGGCAGAATGGGCTTGTGTATGATGTTCTTAAGAGGACAAAGGATGTTTAAATCCCAGATGCTTTTCCAGCCACCCTAGAGGAATGAGAAACAGAAGAGAGCACAGACTTCACAGTCCATCAGCCCTGGGTTTACCTTCCAGTTCCACTTACTGGGTCAGCCAATTTCGCTAAGCCTTTCCCTCAGAAAAGATGAGGAATTCTTGCTTCACTGAGTTGCAGCAGCAGTTAAGCGAGAGAAGTACTAAAACAGCTGGAAGAGTACATACACAAAGAGTATGCTTCTCAACTTGTTCATCTCTTCTTATTCTTTGAGTTAGTGACTTCAGTTAGAAAACCTTCTACCAATAAACTCCAGTGAAAAGGCCGAGACCTCGAGTTTATAATAGCAGGTGCAAACTGCCACTTTTTGACCAAGAGCTAAACCCAAGCTTCCATGGACTGGAGAGACGAACAGGGAACCAGTATTGATTGGCTGTCTTCTATATAAATTGTCTCATTTATTAACCCTGCAAAGTGGTGTGGTGTCCCTGTGTGATAGATTAAGGAAATGGAAGCTCAGAGAACTTTAGTGACTTGCCCTAAGGTTATTCACAAAAGTAAGTCACAGAAACGGGATTTGAACTCAGGCCCAGAGACCCAAGACAGGGAGGGATCTTGTACCAATCTTCAAGTTTTGGAACAAGTGCTACAGTTAGGATGGAAATAGACTTCCAGGCTTGTTTGATCTAACTCTGGAAAAGGAGACTTAAGTTATGTGACACAAGGAAGAGAGAAAAGACATTTCTTACCCAGCTTCGCAATTTAGCACTTTAAGGTAATATTATGTTCCAGCCTATGATCGATGAGCAAGATTTAATAGGTGAGATTGCTTATAATTACTTCTTAATTTATGCTACCAAATCATCATAGAATTTTGTATTTGGTAGGGTGAATGAACTCAAAATCTGGAGAAAAGAAAAGGCTGCCTGCCATCTGGTAGACCCATTCAGGGAGTGTGGCCCGAGAGTCTAGAAACCAGAGCCAGGAAATTCCCAGCTGGGGGACTTGGCTGGCTCTAGCAGCTCGTCAGCCCCTAGGGAAATGAATTGCTGCTGCTGCTGCCCAGAAGGCAAGCCAGAGATCAGTGCTAGGCCCGGGACAGTGGGCCTTGGCAGGGCCTGTTCCCACAGGTTGGCTAGGGAAGGGACATTCCCAGTCTGGTCCGATAGGATCCTCAGTTCAGATGTGTTTGTCCCAGGATTCCTGCCTTCAGGGCCCAAGGTGGGTATTATGGACCAAACTTGTATTTTAGTGACCTCTAGATGAGCACTAATAAGGACTTTTTTATTCACAAGGGGAAGTGCAGGACTTCCTCCTCTCCTACCCCAGGGGCCAGGCAAGAAGGGATGGGGCTCCTACTGGGACTAAAAGGAAGTAGCTTTGAGTCAATTCCTGCTGGTTATCGCCCTGCAAACATAGGTGCCCAGTGTTGTTGGGTCTTTTGGTTTTGTTTTTGTTTTTGTTTTTTTTGTTTTTTGAGGGAAGCCAGAAATCCAGATTTATGAGAAAATCACGTAATTATTAATCCTGACAACTAATTCAGTATTTTATAAACACCTGGTAGGCCATAACTTTGTGATCTCTTCTGCTGGGTGGTAGAACTTACTATTTGCTTCCTCCACTTTCCTAACTCTTGTTTACTTCAGCCACTGAAGTGTAGTTGCTGCCCACACTCGTTTTTTAGACTTCTTCTCATCTCTTAAAGGGAGAATCCCAAAGATTCTGTCCATGGGGCGTATTTGCCCTTTTCTTCCACTTATGGCTGCCCTCATCCACTCCCATGACTTCAAACTACTGCTCACCTCTACACTCATCATGCCCAAATCTAGACCTTCCTGAACTTCCCTCATGCGGGTACCTAACCACCTATTGGACATCTCTCCCGGGACCACGGCTGTGTCAGACTCGGCTTACTGTCTACACCTGCTTCTCTCTTATATTTTTTTATCACCATCCAGCTGTCCAGATTAGAAATCTATGCTCCTTCATCTCCTTCACCACCAGGGACTAAAATCTTCCACCTTAGAAACATCTCCCAGATCCAGCGCCGCCTCTCCATGCTTACTTAGTGCTGTTCTTCATCTCTCACCTGGCTTGGAAGGGTAGCTGGAACCATTTCTGGGGAACTGCAGAGCTAAGCATCACAAAGAGCAGATTTAGATAGATTTTTCGGGGAAGCATGAAATCTGACTTCGGGGGTGAAATGGGAGAGCTTTCAAAAGAAAGACTAGGATGGGAAGTAGACCTACAGCAACAGGTCAAGTTAGTTGAGATTGAGAAATACGAGGCCCTTCCTGATAAAGCACGGGAGAACTGTTTTTCCCCTTTAATATAATTTCATTTTACAAAAGTAATGCATTTTCATGATAAGAAATTTTGAAAATAATGAATAAAAATTTACAATCCCACTACTCAAATGGAGTTATTTTACATTTTATCTCTCATTTTTATATGCTTATATATTTTTAAACAGCAAATGGGGATTGTACTGTATATTAGGTTTTATAACCTTCTCTCCACTTAGCAACATATTATAATAACCTTTGTCTGATTATCACATAAATTTTGTGTTGGAAAACTTGTGAAAATAAAAATGACTGGCAATCACACTGCCCAAAGCCAACCACTGTTAATATTTTCGTTTATTAACAACCCTGTTTTCTTCACGTGCCGTATTGTGAGTGTCACTTCACTAAACTTGTTGGAAATTTAGGTCCCCTGGTTTTCACTATTGTAAATAATGCTTTAGTGACTATCTTTATAAAAATATTTATGTTTTCTTATTGCATTAGCATAAATTTATATAAGAATCACTGAAGCAAAGGATAGGATTCTTTTAAAGGTTCTATAAAGAACCTTTTTTTTTTTTTAGCTGAGCTATCCTGCCACCCGTTGGCAGCTTAGCTCGGGCCGGGAATTGAACCAGCGACCCTGTTGCTCAGAGCTCGCACTCTTGAGCAAGCTCTTAACTGAGCCACTCAGCCGGCCCTATAAAGAACCTTTTATGCAGTTTGCTCACTAAAAAGGTTGTGCCTCGCTTACATTTCCACAGGCGCCTGTTTTCACCACACCTGTGAGAGCACTAGAAGACTAATTTTTAGAAACCCTTTATTAACTGATAGGCAAGAATATTTTCATTGTTTTAATTTTATTATGGTAGTGGCAAAGTCAAACATTTTCTTATAACTTCCACATATTTGTGTTGTTTATATTATTTTGTATATTGTTTTATAAATTGTAAACTGTGTTCTGTATTCACTTTTCTATCTAAGTTTTCTTTTTTTATTGAATTGCAAGGGCACTTCTTGCCAGTATTTTGTTCCATTCTGTCACTTACCTTTTCCTTTTATTTATGGTGATTTTGTTTTGTTTTCACAGTTAAGGAGCTTTTAGAGGGTTTATATAATCAAATCTATCATGCTGTTCCTTTATATTTTCTTTGCTTGCCTTTATGGGAAGAAACCTCCTCCACCATCCTTGGAACAGAAAAATGTTTGCCTATATTTTATTATGGCTCTTTTTAGCATTATGTTTTACATTTAACACTTGAATTTATGTTGGTATATATGGTGTGAGGTTTAAGGACCTAACTGTATTTAATGAATGGTTCAGCGTTAGCAGAGTAACTCATCACAGAGATGACTGGTAAGCTCTAGCACTGCCATCTGAGGTATCTGTAATGGGAACAGGGATTTGAGCTGCCTGGCGGCTGGAGGGTAGGCGTATGTTCTATCCCAGACCCCATCCTGGAAGTGGGAAGAGAGACACAGGCTGGTATGTGGCCCTGGAGTGTCCCCAGCACTGCTCAGTATAGACTCTCCCAGTTGTCCCTGGGGCCTTGGTAAGAAATCTGATTGCGGGCATGGAGCTGAGCCATGGATCTTGGCAGTCTAGCCAGTGACAGGCCACTGCTCCGGGCTTTACATAGTCTTCTGTTATAGCGAAGGTAGCTGATCTCTTAGGTTTTAAAGCTGACCCTGCAGCTTTGCTTTTAGGTATGAGCTTGGATTGCTGGGACAGTAGACCTTAGTCCTTTCTGTAGGGCACTGATTTCAGTCCAGCTTCTGTGCCCTGGGAGGGGCCTTCCCAATCATCAACCTTCCCCCACCCTCACTGATCCAGCTGGCTCTTGACTCACATTACAAGACTTCACCTCTCTACTAACTGCCCAGTCTCACTCCCATGACCTGAATTAATTTACTCTAAAGCCACCTCTTTTTGTTTTTCAGAGGAGTAACTGAAGTCTTCATCCTTTCCCTTGTGCCTTTCCACTTTGATCGGCTTCGTCCTTCCTACTGTGTTTCCCTGAAAATAAGACCGGGTCTTATATTAATTTTTGCTCCAACAATCTATATTCATGTACAAAAATCTACATTTATTCAAACAGTCATGTCTGGCTGACGAACTTAACTGGGGCTTATGTTTGGGGTAGGGCTTATATTATGAACATCCTGAAAAATCATGCTAGGGCTTATTTTCCAGTTAGGTCTTATTTTGGGGGAAAGTCGGTAAGTCATCCACAGCTCCCATCTCTCTTGCTGCAGAGCGAGGCTAGCTAGCCTCTTTGGTTTCTCAGAAAAGCTCAGAATGGCTCCTCCCTTTTTGCTTTTGAACTGCATTTCTTTCCTTATTACTCAGTGTCCACACCCAGGGCGTTTGCCTGGATAAAAATCTACCCCTTCCCCCAGTCACCTTTTTAGGCCAGACATAAGCTCCGGTGAGAAATGGCTATCTACCCAGGCCCAGTTAGAAACTTGAAATATCCTCGGAGTGGCCTGAGGCAGTACAGTGTCCTCTGAGGTCCTCTGAGTCCCTGGATTCTAAGTCTGATTCTCTTTCCTTTCCTCCTCACTCATCTACCAAGCTTGTTTACTGAGCACCATTTGGCAAAGTTAATGAGTATTCTGTCTTAAACAGGAAGGGAGAAGTTATCTCCCTATCATCACCCATTTCTGTGAGGTCTTCAAGGACTCCGGACTCATTAGCCCAGCTGGGCTGTTTCACACAGTCAGAGGAGAACCAGGCCACCTCTCACCTCTCATCCCTGCTAACACTAAGCAGCTTTGTGACCTTAGATAAGACACCTTCCCTTGGGAGGTTGGACCAAGTGATCTCCACTCTTCAGCTGTGGCATCATATGAGGCAACGAAGAGGGGAAAGTACACGAATGGGAAGGTGAAACTTGATTGTACCTGTTTTGTAGGTTCAGGAGAGGTCCTTTGACAACTCAAAAGGAGTGGAGGAAGACTCCAGTGGAAACTTCCGGCTCTGGAGAGCCCACTTCACTGATGATTGAATGACTACCCTATGGGATACACCTCTATTAAAGTCATTCAAAATCCTGCTCATCACTCAGAGTGGGCTTGTCGGGAATCAGGTTCAGTTGACTAACCCAATCTTAAATCCACTTAATTTTTTCTTATACCCTTTTAAAAGAAAAATATGATTATCTGGGAACCTAACCTTCTAAAATGAATATCTCAGTGCTTTCATGGGTCTTTGTATAGTCATGATTTTTTGTGCTACATCTAGCATGGTGGTAGAAAGCAAAGCTAATCTTTTCCAGGTATTATATGGAGTTGAGTTCTGCACTGTGACCTTTTACCCCACTCTTACCAAAGGTCACCTGGCCTTGGCTACAAGGATATCTAGCCCAGTGCTTGGCACATGTTAGGCACACAATAAATATTTGTTAAATGAATGTTGTCTGGTGTGTCCCTAAATGTACTAGTCTTCTGTTCCTTCTTAATCTTATAACTGACTTTCTCCCTCTGGTTTTAATTATGATAGGTGCAAAGCTCCCTAAAACCACTTGTAAAATTCGAGAAGTCAGGCCTGAAGGGTTAGGACATCTGGGATCTAGTGTGAATCCATGTAATTTTAGGTTCACACCTTTCTCCCATCTCATTCCTTAAACTTTGTAGGGGTCAAGGAACTAATTTTCATTGCTCTTGGAGTTGTGTATATATGTTAAGCTTTGTTGGGGTGAATGGTGGGAGGATGGAAGACAGTCTCATTAGGGAATGTCTCTAGCTTGGCATATTAAAAAATTGAGGAATTTGAATTGGGCATTGGAGTGCACAAAACTTGAAAAGGAAGACTGAAAATAGAAATCTCATGAGAAAGTGGATGGTCCAGGTGTCCAAAAGTACTAAGCACCTAGAAGCCATCAACTTTAGAACAACTTGGAGTAGGAAACTGGGGCTAAAATGTTAAACAGCCCTCCTAGTCATTCCCCTCTCCTTTTATTCCCCACTCACCCCTCTTATAGAAATATGTGTCCATTCCTCACTGTCCACTCCCCAACTAGGGAAACCTTGGTCGGTGAGCAGTTCTATTTGATCATTTTCAGGTTTCTGTAGGCAACAACAGGCCTAGAGAAAGCCTCCTTTCTAAACCCTCACATTTGCCTAACATCCCTGGCTACTGTCCCCACATGACCCAAATAAACAGATGATCATGTGAAACCAGTAAGGCTGTATGTTTTAAATAGCAAGCATCTCCTCTAAGCTCAGGAGCAGATGGGGTATTGGGGGCAAAGTAGAGACTGGCATTTGATTCACCCCACTTTTATCTCTTGCTTCCCCACCCCTGAAGAAAAGGCTGTCTTCAGAATACTGCTTTTCAGCGTGGTGCCTTCTTAATGTGATCGAGCTTGTCCCTGACAAGAAGAGTCAGAAAAATTGTACTTCAGCCTCTAGAAGAGACTTCAAGAGCTATATGAGTGCCATGACTGCTTGAGAAAGGCAGAAGTGTACTGCTGGATGTAGCTCTGAGGATCCTGGGCCACTGGGCAGAATGGTACAGCGCTACCCCAAAGAAAATTGAGAACTTGGTCAATAACATTATTTCAGGTCACTAATATATATACCTTATATACTGTTTAGCCACCCCCATCCCCGCCACACACACCTCTATATTGCCTTTAAACTTCCCCTTTTCCTTGGTTGTGCAGTGGGCCAGGCCCAACCACACTGGGAGCAGGTGGCAGACACCATAAAGGAAGCACTGTCAGGACCAGCACAGATTAGCCTCACCGGGAAAGGGCATTCATTCATCCCATGCAGAGGAACTGGGCTCTTGTCCTCTAATCCGCTGTTGCTTTCCAGCTTCATCATAAACAGTGGTGCCCACGCATTTCTGTGTGTGAGGGCCCTCCATGCTCAGCTACAGATGCAGGGGCATTAAATGTGCAAAGGTCAGAGCCCTCTGTAGATGGTGCTGGCAAACACCCCCTTCCTCCTGTTCACTATGTTCTTGATTTTGGATCTGTGCAGATTTTCTTTGCTGAGGATGCACTGTGCTCTCAAACGTAAGGAGCAAAGCCAACAAGCATACACCTGTACCAGCTTTCAATGCATCTAGCTCCCCTCTAGTCCCCCAAAATGGGACATACCCCTTTAGGGCACTGGGGATGGAATGGGATGGATTATCAAGGTGGACTATCACTGAGCTGTCATAAAGGTTTGCTTTCTGGCGTTGTATGGTAGCGAAGCCCAGGCTGTGGGATCCTGAACCCAAATGGCATTGTCTCAACGTACTAGTTAGCAAAGAAAGAATCTGGGGTCAGGACCGAGGGGTCGCAGGGTGCCCCTAATATGCCTTCAACCGGCCTATGCCTGTCACTACTAACTGTACCAGTGGGGTTTCTGAGGCCTCCACCGAAGTGGAACAGTAGGGTTTCAGGTAAAGATTTTGGTGGGCCCAGTCACAATTTGTTAACTGGCCAGATCCCTTCCCGTGCGAGCAACTTGATATTCCTCCAGGACTTTTTTTCTAATTGGGGGCCCTGTTCTAGAACTGCCTTCAAAAGAGTCTCCCGTGGGGTCAGGGAATAAATGCTCCTTCCTACAGGGCAAGGAGCAACTGGACTACTGAGTGACCTTAGACAAGTCCTATCTCGTCTCTGGACCTCAGTTTCCTTATCTTCAAAATGAGAGGATTTGAACATGCTGACCTCAAGGTCTAACTTTCTGACTGTACCCCCAGACGCCCCCAAATACTAGCAAAAGAAGCGGCGGCGGTAAAGAGCGCCAGCCGGGGTCTCCGCCCTCACGGCGAGCGCGGTGGCGGCCAGGAGACGAGGCCCCGCCCCCGCGTCCCGCCCGCGGCCTCTGTGGCCAGGCCAAGGGGAGGGCCGGGCTTCCGCCCTCCACGTTGTTGTTCCCGATTTGGACCACGCCCCCTTGGTCCGGGCTGTGGGTGCCTCGCCTTAACCCGCCCCACCCCCACCCCCACCCCCGGGCCTGAGAGTACAGGGTGGCCTCTGGGGTGGCACAGTTGGAGTTTCCACTCACATTAGACATGGGTGGACAAAGACAAGAGTTTAGGAGAAGGAAAGAGAGAGGCTTGGTTTCAAAGGAAAGGGTGGTGAAAAGTCAAGGATAGGCCAGGGCACAAACTGCTGAATTTCCCTCTCGGCGTTCCACCCTCCGTTCACACAGTGGCCCCATCCGCACCCGTTAACGTGACCCTGCTAGACACTGGCCCTTTAAACAGAAGGCTGGCGGTGCGGGGTGTCCATGTGGAGCTGCTCCATGCCGTGTTGTCCTGCCCGCCCATTGGCCCGCAGCCCGGTGACGTCGCCTAATAGGATGCGAACGCACTGCGGGGGGAGGAAGGGAGACAAAACGCGGAATCGGATCGCCACTCCGCTCCCTGCGCCAGTTCTCTGGCAGCCTCCTGCTGTCAGCTCCGCCCAGGGGCGGATCCCGGGGGAATTGCAACAGCCGGGTGGTTGCAAGAATTAGGTCACGTGTGGGCAGGGTTCAGGCCAGTCTCTACCATCCTAAGGTTTCCCTCACTCGGAATATCCTCATTTGAGTTAACTTAAATCTTGAATCTTCCATCCTTCCTTCCCTCCAGCAGGTTAAATTTCGTTGTGAATGACCCAAACGCACAGTCCTTGCTCAACTTGTGGTTTGCAATCGGGGCGGGGCTAGGCGGGAAAGCGGAAATGCAGGGCGCGAACCAGACTGGAGCGTCTCCCACCCCCAACCAGGCCACGTGTCCGCGCGCCGTCTATAGTAGGCGGGAGCAGCTCGCTCGAGACCCCGCCCCTCCTTCCGTGAGACGCCGCGGCCCTCCGGGTGGGGGCTCCGGTCCGGGCTTTGGCTGCGGCCCCGGTGTAGTAGCGGGGGCGGCGGCCGGGGGCAGCGCGGCTCCTTCCCTTGTTGTGTGTGTCGGTGCCTCCTCGCCATCTTGTTGCAAAGCCTTTTCTTGTCGGCGGGACTCCCGGGGACCGCGGGGCGGGAGGCATTAGAAGAGAGGAAGAGAGGGAGGAGAAGGAGGGAGGCAGTGCCGCCTTTTTTTTGCATCAAATTTTTTTTTAATTTGCAAATTGTATTTTGCAAATATTTTGGGAGACATTGATTTTTCTCCCCGTGCTCCCCCGTTCTTCCTTGCGGAGTGCACTGCGCCGCCCAGCCCTGTCGCCCCCCGGAGGTGATCCCTCCCTCCTGCCTGCCCGCCAGCCTGACCTGTGCCCAGCTTGCGGGCCGCAGTCTCGGCCCAGGCGCACCCCCGGCAGCTCTCGGCGCGATGAGCATAGAGACGCTACTGGAGGCGGCCCGCTTCCTGGAATGGCAAGCGCAGCAACAACAGAGAGCACGTGGTGAGCGGCCAGGCTGGGCCCCAGGGGCACCGGGGAAGGGGAGGCGAGCGGCCCCGTTCCCCGAATCCACGCTGAAACTGCACTGGCAAGGACCCCCTCCCGGGCGGCCGGCGAAACCGGGCAGCGCAAGGCTCCGCTCAAGAGCAACCGCCGGGGGAAGGAGTGTTGTGGGCAGTGAAATTAACTAACGAATTCATTAACATGCAGCGAGGGACCCGGCCCCTGTGGGCTCCACCCCAGCTGCCTGCCACCCCTTGTGTACCTTTCGTGGGGGGCTACTTTCGCGTTGGCCAGCGGCGCCCTCGGTAGCGCCGAGGATGTGAGCCAGCAGGGTGGGGTGAGCAATGGTGTTGTGTGGGGGTGGCAGACCCGTGTGTGCGTGCGTGTGTGCACGGGTGATGTGTAATGGGAGCCTCGAGGAGAGCGGATGAACGGACGTGTACACGGGCGAGTGTAGAGTGCACACGAGTGGGCGTGTGTGTAACGGAGTGGGGGTAGGAATTACTCTACGCCGAGCAGCTCCCCGGCTTCCCTGGCCTTGTGGGGAGGGTGCGGAGAGCGCTCCCGGCAGATCTACGCGCCGCTTGGGGCGGAGGCGGCCTTTGCAGAATGAAATGACATCGCGTGTCTTATGATCCTGGCCAGCCACCTGACCCCGCCTCCCAGATCTTGAGCTCGGTCGCGCGTCAGGGGTTTGGGTGAGAGCCGGGCTGATTCATGGTGTTTGAGATACGGCCCATAGGTCGCTGGGGGCGGTCCCCGGGCCCCCCTTGCTGCGCCCCACTTTAGACGATGTGGAATGTGGCGTGTCTGCGCGTTCCAAACCCGCTCTCGGCTGGAATGTTGCGTGTGCCTGCGTTCTAAGCCTGTTGGTTACACCGGGTGGTGACGTGGACGGGTCCCGCCCCCGACCACGTGCACGGGGGACACTCCCGCTGGGGACTGCACGGTCTGGCCCCTCCTCTCTGCCTCGCGCTCTGGCGGAGGCGGGGCCTGGGCGGGGCCAGTCTTGCGCCGGGCTGGGCCCTGGCTTTGGGCATCTCTCGGGGAGAGCCTTTGCCCTGCGGAGGAGGAGCCGAGTTCACCTGTAGGTTCTTGCCCCAACCTCCTGTTTCTGGTCCTGGCAAACCCTTAGAATCGCAGAGCGACAGGACAGAGCTCACATATTCCCACTGACCCCAAAACATTCTCACCAGGACCTCCTGGCAACATCCCTGGCCACATTGTGGAATGACCCAGGCTGAGAAGAGGCAAACTTTGGCGGTCCCTCGATGGGGGGACGACGACGAAGATTTCTGATACCCCCTATCCCCACGCGTCCTTGTTGATGGTCCCCAGCTTCAGGGTCTGCAGAAATAGGGGATGAGGGGAAAGGCCTTCGATTTCCGGACTGTTGCCAGGGCCTAAGCCTTGGATCGGTTGGTGTGTGTGCAGTATCCAGGGACTCCTGCCTTCTCGAACCCACCTCTTCCCAACCCTTCAGCTCGGTTGGTTGTGGTGGAGATTGCCCTCGCCCTCCTTTCCTTTCTCTCTGCCTATTGTTGCTTCAATGATGAGTCATGCAGAAGGTAGTAGTGTGTGTTGTGTGTGTGCGCGCGCGCGCGCGCGCCTGCAGCGTGTGCTGCCGCGGTCAGTGGGGGGAGTGGCAGTGGACCAGGGGCGGGGGAAGTGGTGGGTCTGCCGGCCTAGTCGGGTCGACCGGCCTCTCAAGGTCAAGAGTCACTCGAGATATGTGAGACCGAGATGCTTGGGTTTTGCGAGATGATGGGTTGAGACATCAGCCCATGCACCCCTCCCACTTGTCTTTGGGGTCCAGAGCAGACTCGGTGGTGGACAGTGCTGGTGGTCCCCCAGAATGCCCTGCGTGGGGAGGGGGTGGGGGGGAGGTAGGAGCATGCACAATATTTGGAGAGACTGAGTCATCTGCTGCCACCATCAACACAATGCAATTCAAGAATACCTATTGTGCGCCCACTGTATACCAGGCATTGTGCTAGTTTGAACAGGATTGACCCTTACCTTGTCCCAAGGAAACACTTCACCTTCACTTTACCTGCAGACTTGTTGGCCATATGGGGAAGGGGAGAAGACCCCCACTGTTATCTGTCCTGCCCTTTCTAAAATAAGTAAGTCCACAGCTGACCAGTAGGAAGAACAGGGATGATGTGTACAACACTTTGAAGGAAGCTGGGAATGGTTCTCTCCTAAGAAGTTGCAGATCTCTGCCCTCTCCTTTAGGTGGTGAGAACGGGGGACAGGGAGCTGCGTTGAAGCCTAGTTTAGTGGCCCAGTCTCAGCTTCTTCTTGGTGGGGCTGGGGTCTTAGAGGATGAATGGATGCTGGAAAGCGACATCTGCATCAAAAACTTACGTAGACCCAGCTGCAACAGTTTAATCTCCAGAATTTGTTTTTTTCTCCTTTTTGAGGGTCTGTCCTCTGGCGGGGGATGGGAAGAATGAGAGAGAAGGAGGTGGTATGAACCTGCTGACCATAATTTCTGTCTCAGGGCATGTATCTGATGGGTAGCTCTGAAGAGGGAGCCCTCTTGTGCGTGCCCCCCTTTAACCTCAAGGGTCAGTTTCCTGATCTGGAGTAGCCAGTTTGCTCACATGATGAACCTGAGTTGGGGGGTGGGGGGAGGCACGTGAGCACACAGAGAAGGAAGGGCAAGGCTATCCTGGTGGTTAGCAGGAGGGCCTGGTCATTTCTAGCATTCATGGAGAGGGCTCCAACAGAGCCCTCTTCTTCCTTGATTGGAAGGAGCTGACTGGAGTGTCTACAGGTGCACCCTAGGCCTGTCTTATGTGCCAAGTTCCCTGATAGCATGCAGAAAGGGAGAATGACCCTGAACATTTGGAACCACCAGGTATAAATTCTTTGGGCCCCAGCTCTGTGCCTGTTGATCCCCCGGGACACAGTGGCTAGGGATGGCCAAAGGGAGCCCAAAGTCCATACTCTCCACTGTGGCCCCTGGATCACCCCAGAGAGGTTATTACAAATTCTCAGGAGGCAGCCTCTGGGCAGAGCCCATGGAAGGTACCAGAGTGTGTATGTGCATATGTGGGAGTGAGAGAGGGAGTGCACCCATGGGTGCAGCTGAGCATTATTTTAAAGAGCCTAAACCCATATACTTCTGAGGGAGGTCCCGAGGGACTGTCAGCTTGCTTTCCCCACTTTGTCTCCCCCTCTGCCATACTTGCTGGGTAGAGACTGAGTCAGAGCTGGCAGGGAGGAGGCAGGAAGCTTTGATGGGCTAGATCTGGCCTGAGCCACCCCTTCTTCACCACCAGTTAAGCTTTATCATGCTGATCCAGGTGTGATAGCGCTTGGCCATTCACCTGGGTCCTTCCTGGCACCTGTGAGGCCTACCTGCCTAGCTTTGGAAGAGCCGGTAGGTGAGAAGGAGGTGGCCATCTCTTGGGTGAGCTTTGGAGTTACTTTAAAATATGGGGAATATGAGGTTTGCCTTCAATCTGAGTTCTCAGGGCATCTTGGGCCCTGTCTGTCCCCATGCTTATGGGAGAGTGGAACATTTGCCTCAAGGCCAATGAAAGTTTGGGTCCTGTCTCAAAGGAATGGAGGTGAGGACTGTATTGGGCCCTGAGCTCCAGGGCCTTGTCTTGGGGATGGAGTGGAGTAGGTGAGGAGGGGTGAGGACTAGGAATATCCCAAGCTGGGCCTGAGAAGGGCTGTCTGTAATGAACAGTGTGGTCTGTGGGAAGGTGGAGAGCAGAGAGCTGGTTTTCTCTGGGGCTGTAACATAAGTCAGTGCTGGCTGGAAAGGCCTGGGAGAGCAAGGGCTCCCCTCATTGGAGCAGGCTGATCTGGCAGCTCCACTTCCTGAAGGGCGGGGAAGATACGGAAGAGGCCGGTGCTGACCTGTCCAACCCCTGATCTCTGGCTGCTGGGAAACCACTGAGTGCTTCCCCTCTCTGAGCTGGTCCCCCTCTACTTCCTACTTGCCTCTACTCCTCTGCGGAGGGAGGGGCTCCAAGCAGGCCCGTCTCACTCAAGTTGTTGATTGGCAAAAGGTCCCTGAGGCTTCAGGTTTTTGGGGGGCCCCTGAGCCGAAAGACAAGTGGGGGTTTGATGCCCTCCTGCTGAGGGGGCACTTAGCCAACCTTATCCCTCAGCCCCGCCCCTTGTGGGTGGCGTGTTTGGGGCGTGTCTGTAGGCCTGCACTGTTGGCTGGGTTAGTCAGCAGTGTGGTGAATTGGGGCAGGAGGGAGGGGGGGGCTGGCTGACCAGCCTACTCCCTGGCCTGGGGGCTGCAGCTGCTCCCCAGGGCCCTGGCCCAGCCCTGTAGCCAGGGAACCAGAATGGTGGGGCCCCCAAACGGGGCAGGGTGGAGATGGAGCTGGGCCTCTGGAGCAAGAGGGGCCCTCTCCCCTTCCTGTAGGGCTTCCAGAAGAGATGCTGGACCGATGGTGCAAGTTTGCCCGGAGCTCATTGCCCTGTTCAACGTGTATTAAAAAGCTCAGCTTTCCTTTCTGCCTGCCTCTTACTCGTTTGTGCTGCTGGGGGTGGTGGGAGGACAGGGGGGATTTGGGAGAAACTAGTTCTAGCATGACAAAAGGCAGAGAAGGACCACATGTGTTTTATATGTCCCTGAGGAAACCAGAGGCTTTGGGACTTAGCCTGGTAGTCCCAAGTCCTGGGTCTAGTTTCCTCACATGTGAGTTGAAGGTGATGCGCTTACCCTGCCTGTGGGGGGGGGGGCTCTTGTTAGGGCACACGCACGCGTGTTTGTATGTGTGTGTAGACACCTAGTGAGCATATGTTGGCACAGCAAATATAGGGCATCCACCAGGTGATAAGAGACCTGGCTGGGTTTAGCCTGTTTTTACCTGTAGCTTGCTGTGTGACCCTCAACAAATAACTTTCCCTCTCTGAGCTAATTTAACTCATCTGTGAAATGAAGGTGCTGCCTGCCTTCTAAAAGCTACTTGGTAAACATTGTTGAGGTCTTGCCTAGAAGCTATGATCTATCCGTTCCCTGCCCCCCTTGTCCTCTGCTGGCCTGTGAGGTCTTTTGTGGACTGGCCTCTGCCTACCTCACCTATCATCACCCTGTTGCTCCTGACCCTCCCTGCTCATCAACTGCCTTACCCCTCAACCTTCAGGCTCCCAGGCCTCCAGTATCCTCCCTGACAGTTCTTGTTCCACCTTTCTAAGGCCCCTCTTCTCCCCTAGCCTGGATTGTTATCCCTGTTACTTGTCCCTCCCCCCAACCGCTCAGGCTGTGAGCTCCCCAATGGCTGGGACTCTACTCTTTCATTTGTTCACTGCTGTGGCCCCAGCACTGCTGAGTGTGGATGGGAATTTGTGGCATCTCAGGCTGAGCAGAGGTGTCATTGAATGCTGACCTGAACAAGGTCAGAGGATGGGTTCGAGGACAAATGAAGCTGAGGCCCAGGACTGCTGGTCCCACTGAGACACCCCTTGTGTTCTCTCTGCTTAGAGGAGCAGGAGCGGCTTCGCTTGGAGCGGGAGCGGGAGCGGGAGCAGGAGCAGAAGAAGGCCAGCAGCCTGGCCAGGCTGGCCCATGCCCTTCCTGTGGAGGAACCCCGAATCGAGGCACCACCCCTGCCTCTGTCACCACCGGCACCCCCACCGGCACCACCACCACCACTTGCCACCCCCACCCCACTGACTGTCATTCCTATTCCAGTAGTGACCAACTCACCTCAGCCTTTGCCCCCACCCCCACCACTGCCTCCTGCAGCCCAGCCTCTGCCCCTGGCACCTCGGCAGCCAGCCCTGGTTAGCACCCCTGGACTCAGCATTAAGGAGTCTGCTTCCTTGCCCACCAGGCCACAGGTGCCAACCCCTGCTCCCCTACTGCCAGACTCTAAGACCACCCTTAACGCCACCGGCAGCCCCAAGCCTTTGCAGCCCCTCCCCACACCCATCCTGACCATAGCACCACACCCCGGAGTCCAACCCCAGCTGGCCCCCCAGCAGCCACCCCCACCCACTCTTGGGACCCTGAAGTTGGCACCAGCTGAAGAAGTCAAGTCCAGCGAACAGAAGAAGAGGCCTGGGGGGTGAGTGAAGTGTGGCAGAGTCTGGGCTGGTGGGATGGAGAGAACTGCCCACCCCCTAGGCTGTGTGTGCAAGAGAAAGGACCCTCCCAAGCTTACCCTTCAGAGCCACGCCCTCCCTACCTCTCCAACCTAGAAGTGCCCTCCAATATTTGGACATTCTCACTGTACCCCTGCCCATCCCCACCCCGGGAGTGGAGAATGGCTACTTAGCTCTGCTATTCTCAGGCTTCTGTGTTCTCTGACCCCCTCCAAGGTTAGGGCTGATAGCATTTCCAGGCCTTTGGACAGGGTCAGATTATGGGCCTCTTGGGTGAGGGCTGGGGTCAACTGGCGATTTCTCTTGAGTCCCAGGATCCCTTCTGTCTCCTCAAGTAGAGAGGTGGCAGAGGGTTAAAGGGGTTGTGAATTGAGCATACATGTGGGGGGAACATCTCCCATTGCTGCTTTTATATAAAGTCAGGGACAAAAAGCCTGTGGCATGGGTGGAGGGGGCGGGGCAGGGGCAGGAAGGCTGCCTAATCAGGCCCTCCTCCCTGAGCCCCCCGTCTGTCTGGGTTGCAGGATCGGAACCAGAGAAGTCCACAACAAATTGGAGAAGAACAGGTGTGTGTGCGTGCGTGTGTGGCTCTGGTCCCACCCTGTGGTTCCCCCAGGCGCTCCTTGGTCCTTCCCGCCCCTCCCCCACTCTGCCCCACCCCCCTGGCGCTGGCTGACCGGCGCCGCTCGCCCTCCTCTCCCCAGGAGGGCCCATCTGAAGGAATGCTTTGAGACCCTGAAACGCAACATCCCCAACGTGGACGACAAGAAGACGTCGAATCTCAGCGTACTGCGGACGGCGCTGCGGTACATTCAGGTATGGGGGAGGGAAGCCGGTCGAGAGGAGGCGGGCGTTGGCGGCGCCAGCAGCAGCGCAGCCCGCCCTCCCTCCCTCGCCGGCTGCCCCGCCTGCCTCCACGCGGGCGCTGAGCACATGGTCGGCTGACGTCAGCGGGTCTCCCAGCCCGGGAGGGGACGGGAAGACGCATGCGCTTGCGCACGGAGGGCGGTGGGGGTGATCCTCTCTGCTCCCCTTTTCTCCCCTCCCCCGTCGAGCTCTGCCATCTGTACCGCCCCACAGCTCGGTGTCAAACCCGGTGCCAGGCCCCTCATTACCTCCTGACACTATTTGTGCACCACGGGTGAGGGGCGTGGAGCCGCCCCTCATCTCCACCCCGCCCGCAGTGCCGGGGCGGGAACCGGATTTGGCTCGAGTCAATCGCTTCTGGTGGGGGGAAGTACCCCAGGCGTGGCTCCTTCCTTAGGCGGCTCGCTGGTGAAGCCCCCCACTTTTCACCCTAGAAGGGTTAAGATCCTTCCAGTGAGCGCATTGAGGTGCCTCGACCCGAGTTTGGGATTAAACCTGGGAGTTGGGGAAATGAGGCGGTCTGGGTGACAGCCCCGGAGTCACCGAACCTTAAAAAATTACGCTCTCCTTCCGTCTGGGTTTTTAATAAGCCCTTTTCAAGGGTCCCTCCGGGTCGTGTGTCCCCTCCCTTTAAGCATTGGCTCTCCTCTGCAGTGGGGTTGGGGGTAGAGGGAGGCGCCCGCCATATCTAACTGTTGCCATGACTGCCCAAGTTTCGGTTTCCCTGGAAACCAGCGGACGGTTCCGCGTGCCGGGAAGGAGGCTGTGGGGGTGGGGCAGGCGGCCACGCTCTGCTGCCGCGGAGGTAGAGTCGGAATGGAGCCGTTGGGGAGTAGGAGGGGCTTAGGGCTCCTTGCCTGCGCCGAGGGGGGGCAGAGCCTCGGGGTCTCCCTATCGGTGCGCTAGGGAAGCTTGGGGGCTGGGCGCCACCCCTCCCCCGGCCTCAACTGCGGGGTCACAGCCTTGTGGTAACCGCCGTCTGACTTGTTAAGGGGCGGAGGCACTGCTTTGCGATTGCTCCCAGTCGGCGGGAACGCACGCCCTTCCGCCCGCCCTAGGGGCGAGAGGGCGGGGCAGGTGCCCCTCTCAGCCGCTTCTCAGCACCTGGGAGGGGCGGGGCTCCTGCATGCAAGGAGGGAGGGTGCGGCTGGCGGGGAGTGACGCAGCAAAGCAGGGTCCGCGTGGGTGCGTGCGTGCTCCGGGAGGGGCGGGGCTTCACCTTGTTCGGACGGTTCCCTAGAGGCTTATTTCTGGGATGTTTTCACAGAACTTGGGCTTCGTAGAAGTTACTGTATTTTCTGTCATGCAGTCATATGGCCTGGGACCAAATCCCTGTCCAAATGCTGTGCCATTTCTGTGACTATCCGTTTCCTCTCCTGTAATGCAGTGGTGCTAAATAGGAAAAAAAGAATAGTTATCTTCGTCATGGGGATGTTAGGAAGATTGGTTCTCTACAAATATTAATAGCAATTCTTGAGAAGTGGGAAGATTCTCCTTTGTAGACACATACTTAGGGAGGGGAGCTTTGGTTTGCATAACGTGTGGATTTGAAAATAAATGAGAAATAGAAACTCAGTAGAACCAGCAGACTCGGGGCCTGGGCTGAGGAGGGAGCAGGACCCATTTCTGGTAGTTAAAGATGGTCAGGAAGGTTGCCATACAGAGATGGGGGGAGCTGCAGGGCACTAGATGAGTTGAGAGAGTACTGGAGGCCATGTAGGGCGTGTAGACTGAGGGCTTTGGTTGTGTGCTGAGGCAGGAAGCTATGGGAAGACTGTAGCCCCCAGCCAGATCCAAAATGGCTTGGAGGTGGTACAGGATTTGAAGAAAGCCACAGTGAAGTGGACAGAAACAGGATGAGGAATAGGCAAGTACCAAATCATACATCCAGGTGATCTTAGGAAGGGAATGGGTTTTATTTATTTTATTAAGATTTTATTTGGGAATTGGGGGGAGGGAACAGTTTTGGGGAACCAGGGAAGGGGAACAGACAAGTTGCTGTCCTTTGGTTCTTCAGTCTAGTTGTGGAGGACGTCGCTTCACTGGCCCATGTGGTATTATCATTGTGTTCTTCCCGAGTGAGGCAATCGCTCGCCGGCCATTGGATGGCTGCTCACAAAAGCACACGCCCTGCTGCTGGCCAGCCCCACTGCAGCCTAGCCGTGGCTGTCGACTCACGGCAGCCCAGCTCCAGGTCGAGCTGTTGTTCACCATGGCCACTTCCAGCTCCCAGCAGCCAGGTTGGAGTGAGGGTTGATTCATCACAGGCCCGATTATTGATGTGGTCTCATCTGAGAAGCCAGACAGGTGTGTGTGGGTAAGAGGAGAAATCTTTCTGGCAGAAATATGGGGAGAAGCAGGTAAATCTCAAAGCCAGGATGGAGAGGGGCCTCTGTGTGGTTAGGGACTGGCGACAGAAGTGTAAAACTACCAGGCTTCAGGCCAGTACAGGGCATGGCTGTACCTGGGGTTTGTGTTGCAGGCACTAATTAATGATTTGAGGTATCTCTTACTGGTGAGGTCAGAAATGCAAGGAGTTAGGGGCTGCGGGAGGGAGCATAGGGAAGTTGGGCTTCGTTGGTGTGTGGAGTTGAAAATGTTACCGTGTGCAGGAGGAGGAGGTTAACAGTCAGGAGAGGCCCTGCAAAACTGCCTGTAGGAAATGGAATCAGGAAACTCAAGTCCAATGGGTGACTGTGACTCGACTGTGATGAAGGGGAGAGACAGGATAAAGGTGGGAGCTAACACGTTCATGCCCTCACAGATTCTTCCCCTGGCGCTGAGACATTGTACATAGCTCTGCCCTGGCCACTGGTAGAGTCGGAATATAAACTAACTATAGAAAAGGCCTTGCCTTCTCTCACAAGGTTGGACAGGAACAGTGTGTGTTGAGATGGAAAGACAAAACATGCAATATTTAGGAGGTCGTATGAACCAGTGTTTGATTAAGCACTACCTGACAGTCTCATTAAATGCTCAGGTGTGTGGTGCAGGTCAGGAGGAATTACTATTGAGGGCGTGGGGTAGAGAAGGATGGTGGACAAGGTGTGGGCCTTGTGGAGCATGAGCAGATAAGCCCTAGAGGGGTGAGAAGAGAGGATAGGGCACACAGGGTTGGGGAAGGCAAACTAGGACAAGCTGATGAGTTTGGTGTTTGAAGAGCCAATGTGCTCTGCACCTGGCTGTGACTGGGCAAGCCTTGGAAGCTAGAAGCTCAGGAGCAGGTCAGGTAAGACCCCGGAGGCAGCAGGGCAGGATTGTCTGTGTCATCTGGTAGACCCAGCGTCATGACATGCCTGGGCTGAGGAGCAGCTGGCAGCAGGGAGGCCTGTGAGACTTAGATAGGCTGGTTTAATAGTGTCAGAGTCAGGAAGTCATGGAGGACAGGTAAGAGCTGGTGTGGAAGGAAGCCGAGAAATAGATCATCAGCTGGCACTTTGGAGCTAATAAGCTTCATGCAAAGGGAAACTGGAGACCCTTCTGATAGGGAAGCAGTGTCACAGTCTGGGAAGCAAGGCATCCAGCACATCTGTGAGGGGGCGACCTAAGGGACACAAGGTTGCCTGTGGCCCTGGAGTTGAGGGAGAGATGGCACCATGGGGGAAGGGAGCTCCCCCATGGTTCTTAGTGAAGTGGGTGGTGTCAGCATCTTGGGGGCGAGAGTGACCTGGAACCTGTGGTGGAGGACTGAAGCCTCTCCAGGGGTGCTCAGTCGAGTCAGTGGTGCTGTCCAGCACCCCAAGAGCCATTTCTCATTGTTCACTGCAACTCAGGTACCGGTGTGAAAGGAGGGCACATTCCAGGGCTTGCGGGTTTGTTCAGCAGCCTGGGGAATCCCGAGGCTGCAGGCATTATGTGAAAATAGAGGCTGTGTAGAGGTGTCATGGGTGGGCACCGCGGGGAGTAGTCCAGGAGGTTGGAGAGGAGGTGCAGAGCCAGCAGCTGCTGAGGGCGAGATGGAGGCAGGTCAAGGAGATGAAATGGGGTGTGGGGGTTGTCACAAAATCTAGTGGATTATCCTCTAAGGATACTGAAGTTAAGGAGACTAGTGATTGATGAGGTAGAGAGAAGGGGGCTGGATCATTTGGGGTTCTTTGGGGAATGGGATTCAAGGAGAGTAGCTTGTGGCTTGGTATCAGTGAGTGACAGAATGGTGTGAATGGCAGTGGAGGCCTTGGGCAATACTGGAGTAGTCTCTTATCTCTTTTGTCCTCTGCAGAATGAAGGGAGATGCTGCCAGGAGGGTGTATGGAGCAAGAGGCAGCAAAGCCCCTTAGGATAGAGTTGTAGAGATGGGGGAGCAGCTGACATGGATCTGTGCTTTCTTTTAGTGGCACCTGTCTGAAAGCCCATAGTTCCCAGGACCCTAGCCCTCATTGAGCAGAGCCATGGCTCAGGAGGCAGGTGTGGTCTCCATCAGCCTAGGCCCCCCTGGTCACTGCAAACCTGCCCCAGTGGGCCAGGCGATCTGGAAGCAAGGGTGGCTGTGGGGAGATATGTGAGGTACTGTGGGCCCCGAGCCTCTGCTCAGTATAGTCTGCTGTCCCTTGCCCTGTTCTCCAGTCCCTGAAGAGAAAGGAGAAGGAATATGAGCATGAGATGGAGCGGCTGGCACGGGAGAAGATTGCCACGCAGCAGCGGTTGGCGGAGCTCAAGCACGAGCTAAGCCAGTGGATGGACATGCTGGAGATTGACCGCGTGCTCCGGCAGACGGGCCAGCCTGAGGACGACCAGGCCTCCACCTCTACTGCCTCTGGTGAGCCCCACCCCTCACATGCCAGCTTTCCTGCCCAGCACTTTGCTTGCTGGGAAAGATGCCCTCCCACCCCAGCTCTGAAATAGCCCTAGACCCCCAAGGGCATCTACTTTTCCAGTCTCTTGTTCCCAAGCTTTTCTGACCTGTCCTTGTCCCTGTGTCCCCCCACAGAGGGTGAGGACAACATAGACGAGGATATGGAGGAGGACCAGGCTGGCCTGGGCCCACCTAAGCTGAGCCATCGTCCCCACCCGGAGCTGCCGAAGCCACCGCCCAGCACTGCCCCTGCGCCTCTGCCTCCCCACCCACACCCCCACTCCCAGCCTGTGGCCCTGTCTCCTGCCCACCTCCCCGGGCAACAGCCCCCTCCACAGCAGAAGACACCTCTGCCAGCCCCTCCTCCCCCACCAGCTGCCCCTGCCCAGACGCTGGTGCCCGCTCCGGCCCATCTGGTGGCTGCAGCTGGGGGAGGCTCCACGGTCATCGCCCACACGGCCACTACCCACGCCTCAGTCATCCAGACTGTGAACCACGTTCTCCAGGGGCCAGGCGGCAAACACATCGCCCACATTGCCCCCTCGGCCCCCAGCCCTGCTGTGCAGCTGGCACCTGCCACACCCCCCATTGGCCACATCACAGTGCACCCTGCCACCCTCAACCACGTGGCCCACCTTGGCTCCCAGCTGCCCCTATACCCACAGCCTGTGGCAGTGAGCCAGCCCGTGGCGGTGAGCCACATCGCTCACACCCTCTCGCACCAGCAAGTGAACGGCACAGGCGGGCTGGGGCCTCCTGCCACCGTCATGGCAAAGCCAGCCGTGGGGGCTCAGGTGGTACACCACCCCCAACTGGTGGGCCAGACAGTGCTCAACCCTGTGACCATGGTCACCATGCCCTCCTTCCCAGTCAGCACACTCAAGCTGGCTTGAGGATGAGGCCACTCAGAGGCCCCCAGTGGGGGCAAAGAGGGGGACCTGTCCCCCACTCTCCCACCAGCTCCACACATTCCAGCCAGGCCCACCCCACCCATACCCACCCCCAGGCCTCCTAGGGGAAGGGGGTGCAGAGACTCTGAGCCAGGGGAGGGAGGGGCCACCCCAGGGAGCTGGGCACAGGGCAGGGGGTTACCCCACTGCACTACGACTTGATAAAATGATGAGAGACGCTCTGGTGGACTTGCTGCCTGTCCGGCCTGGTGCCGTTCCTGCCTCCCCATCCTGTCCCCCGAAACCAGTGTGATGTGAAACGTCTCCCTCCCCTGCTGCCTTCCTGTGCTGCTGCTGCTATTGCTGTCTGGTGAGGTGGCTGAGCGCCCGGGCCCTCCCCTCCCGAGCCTCAGCCTTCTCTTCCCAGGCCTTTGGAGGGAAAAGCGGGGGAAGCTGAACTGAAGCAACTTGGTGCAGAAAGTTGGGGACCACTGTGAGCCCCGCTCTGAGTACAGGTGACAGGTCCTAGGACGTGGCTGGTCTGGAGTCTTACCCAGAGAGGTGGGTGCCCTAGCTTGGGGCTCTGCGACCCAGTTGCAGTCACTGTGATTCCTTACAGCAGAAACTGGTTAAGATGATTCTCTGTCAACAGTAAACCAAACCCAAACTGTTGCCAAGCTTCTGAGCTCCCCCTCCCCCCAATCCTTGCCACTGGGCTCCTGACCTCAGGAGGACAGGCTGAGGATGGGGTGGGTAAGGAGGGGCTTGGCTGTCCCCATCTTTGCTGTCACCGCCCCCCCACCTCCCCCAGCCTGGGTCTGAACTGAGAGATGTTCTGGACCCCTGTCCCCGTCCCTGGGTGTCTGTTGGCTTCCAGAAGGCAGAGAAAGGGTGCTATCTGGCGTTTACTCCCGACTCCCTGGCCTCTGCTCAGTGCTCTGCGCTCCCCCAAGGGGTGGGTATGCTTGGGTGCCTCATCCCGCCTGGGAGACATGGGCCGGCATCTGTCTGGGTTCCAGGAGCCTGAAGCCACACTGCTGAGGCAATCAGGAAGTTAAACTCTAGGGGTTCCAGTAAAGCTCCCAACCTTTTTCCAAACAGGCTCTGGGGTCCCATAGCGAGGTAGTAGGGCCGGACTGTTGTAGGGCTGCTGCTTCTGCCCCCTATTTCTCTGTCTCACACCGCCTTTCTCCAGTGGGCTGTTTGAGTGTACCCTTTCTGGTGGGGGCTGTGGTGTGCCACCGCCATCCCCTGAGGAAAGGTCCTTAGTTGGGCCGAGAGCAGGGCCAAGCTTGGGGTGGGAAGGCGCGAGGGGGCCTGGTGTAGGAGATGCTGCTTTCCCTGCCTCTGCCTTGGCAGACTGCTTTGGCTTCTCTTTTTATGTGGGTATTTATTACAAGTGGCCTTGTGTCAGACACTCAGTTACACACACGTGCACACTTGGCTCCCCACCTGGACACACTCACTGATGGCCTTTCAGTGTGGGGGAAGGAAGCGAGTGTCCCTAGGTGTGAAGTTTGCACTGACAGGCTGGGGGGTGGGGTGAGTGTAAGGGCCCAGGATCCTCTGGAGTGGCTCCAGCAGAGGTCTTGAATAGATATAGATGCCTAAGAACTCCCTGTGGGTTTGTTCCTGATCCTGGAGACCTCCCAGGGGACTGTTTTCTTCTCATTTCTCTCTCCTGGGGAAAGGGAAGGCCTATCCATGCCTTAGAGGCCTCCAGGAGGGAATCCCATACCACCCCACAGCGCTCCCACCTTCCAAGCTTGCTGCCTTCCTGCGCCTGCAGCCACCACCACCACCACCCTGGTTCTCCGGGGAGCCAGTTTCACTCTTCCCAGTGTGATTACAATGGAAAAGCAGAGGGAGATGGGCAGGCCTGGCACCCAGGGAACAGTCAGAGAAGCATTGATGAACCTGCCTCGGCTCTGTTCACCTCCCTGCATCCCAAGGCCGGTCCAGAGTTGAAACTTGTCAGCCAGTTGCCCCTTGGGCCTGCACAGATACCTCATCCGCCCGCTGCCCCCGACCCTCCCGGCCCCCAGCAAGGGGGCCTCCGAATCTAGTGCCGAATGACTATGTCCAGATTGGTGACGATGGGTGTTGTAGCTGTTTTTGTTGTCGTTTGTGAATGCTGTGACGCTGTGTGCCCTAGAGGGCAGCTGCCGCCCAGCCCTTCCTTGGGCATCTCCTCTCAGAGCTGTCAGGACCACATCTGTCCTCGCCCTGTGGGACCGCCTGCCCCTCCCCTCCCTAGCCCTTCCAGCCTGGGGGACGCGCATGTGCGCGCGTGCACACACACATCTTACCTCTCATGCGTGTTTTACTTTTTGATGTTCGGAGTGGCTCACTGGCTGGGAGTCTTTACCTCGGGGAGAAGGGGGAGTTGGTTCCTTGGTGGGGGGCAAAGAAGGGCAGGGAATACCTGGAGCGGAGCTAGGGGTCACCATAACCCCTGCTCTCTCCAGGAACAGCTTCTTCTCCCCCATCCCAGGGTCCCACCCCCACCCCCCCCAAGAGGTGGCCCTTGTTTACAGTGAGGACTCGGTCACTGTGTCTCCGTTTCCTGAAATATAAACTGTAGTGACCCCAGACTAGATTTTTATGTGTTTGGATACATCTGCTGTGTGGGGGGAAAAAAAAAAAAAACTACAAAAACCCTAATTTTGTACATATTGTATTTTTACTATTGAACTGTATTCTAGTGGCTGTTCATGCTCCAAGACTTTAGGTATTGAGACATGAATACTATCCATGTAATAAGCACTTGCCTGGAATAAAATATAAAATTGAAATAAACCTGCACTGAAACCTGAGCTGGAGCTGCCAGCCTGCAGCATCTGGGTCCTTTTGTTACTGAAGCGGGTACAGACCTTCAGGTAAAGACCTCTAGCAAGCAGCAGGGTCTTTTCCCTGTTGACGTTTGTGGAGGATGCTCCTCAAGCAGCTTCCACGCTGGTCAACTTTAGAGAAATATTAGGGATCTTCCAGTGCTCAGTCCTCAACAAGCTTTGAGAACTGCGTTTCTGGCCTTACGTTTTTTGCAATACTTGATACTTCCTCAAACCATTTTTACAAACACCATCTTACTGTATTTCATCTCATAATAGCACGGTGGAGTGAGTACGTAAGCCAAGAACTAGCCCCGTTCTGGCAGAAAAGGAAACGAGTTTGAGGTGGATGAGTGATTGATTTGTTAGTCACACAGCTAGCCTGGGTCCTCATGCCACAGTCAGATCCCAGCTCAGTGTAGAGTCACCTAGCACGGCCATCCTGCCCCCGGGCCTCTTGTAGAGTTGGGGATCTTGAACTCAACAAAGTTCCAATGGGAAGGGGAGAGGATCTGTGCACAGAAGATGAAGGCCCCCTGGGAGGGGATGTGTTTATGGGGTAGAGGTTAGGACAGGTCATATGGGGAGTCCATAGGCTGTCCTTTCAGGAAAAGGAACGAGGAAGAGGTCAAAGCCACATTCTAAGCTGGGCCTGGAAGACCTTTGTCCTTAGGACTACATCTCTCCCGTTTTGGGGAAAGCTACCTTTTGGCAAGCCTCCCAGGAGTAAGTAGGGAGGTGAGGGGACAATTACCTGGGCCAAGCTGTAGGCCAGGCAGGCTGCCCTTCCTGCCTTTTCTGACTGCCTGACACCTGCCCCGTTCCTTCCCAGCCTGGGGAATTGACTCAGCTTCTCTTCCTGGGGTGAGCGTGGGGATATGGGGCAGGGGTCATCCTTAGGGAAGGGAGTGAGGGAGTGGTGGGCACACATGTCTTGGGGTTCCATTTTCTGAAGGAAAGCCTCAAAAGGCCAGCTCCATTGCCCCACGAGGCCACCAGCCCTTCACTTTGTGATGTGCTGGCTCCCTCTGCTGGTAACTCAAGATAGAGATCGGTCCCTTCCACTTCAGGAAAGGCCCACCGGTAGGGGCAACACTTCCTGAGTGCCCACTCGGTCAGGCACTGCCCAGCACTGGGAACAAAGATGATCTGGCCCTGGCAGTGAAGACCCGGTGTCATCTGAACACTATCACTGTATCTTGAGGGTAGGCAGAAACCCCTCCCTGCACTCAAAGGCTGAAGTCAGTCCCCCCAGCTCAGCTGGAGCCTGCAAGAGCGAGGCCTGTGATCAGGGAAACGGAAAAAAAGAACCTCAGGTAGGAACCCAGGAGCTTCCACGCACCGGCTCTGCTCTGTGAGAGACTTGACTTCCAGAGTGGGAGGGTTCCCTGAGATGGTCTTTAAAGCACCCTCTTCGTACTTCCTGCTCCTCCTATCCACAATTACCTTTAGCAAAACCATCATTTTGGCTTTGGGGTTCTCTGTGGTCCTAGAAGTCCAGCCAGAGGCCTAGGGGAGGGTCAACACTTTTGGGTAGGAGTGTGTGACGGAACCGGGCCACTTCCAGGCTAGTTCATCAGGGACCTTTTGTGACCTTTCAGGTGGAGTCACAGCAGAGGGAATTCTGAGGACTCCAAGCCACAGGATCAGCTTGGGGATTTATAATGTTCCCTTGAGAGGCTTATAAGGTTCCCTGGCCCCAGAGCTCCCTGTGTCAACTGGTTTCCTTGACTGTGCAGCTCAGAGAGAGTTGACAATAGGCCCTAAGACTCAGAAAGCCAGTGTCCTCTAGACCAGACCGTATGCGGGTGACAGGAGCCCTCTACCTGAGACCTTGGAAAATGGGAGGCAGAGGCCTTGTGGGGTGGGGGAAGGCAGATGAGAACCTGCTATTCTAGTCGGGCCCCTTCCATGCCTGAGCAGCTTTGACCCCTCCTGATGCCCCCCCCCTCCCCCCGGCCCAGGCCTAAGTCTAAAGCATTCAAAGGCAGCACTCAGTGGACAAGAACCAAGGCTAAAGGGTCAAGGTCCTTTCCCACTGGCTGGAGGGGCCAGGAAGCTCCTGCAGGTTCCCAGTCATGCTCCAACTTGTCACTGTAGCTGTTCAGGAGGGCAGGCAGGCTGGGGACGCGGTGGGACAGGGACCTACACTAATCCAGGGGCTGTAAAGGCCACTGGTCAGTCTGAGATGGGACTGTTGGCTCTGGGGTGAGGACCCCCGCCCCAAGGGCTCTCTCTGAGTACCTGGGGTCTGGCTATCACCCCCGACCCTGACCAGCCCATCGCCGAAGTCCCTCTCTCCTGGAAACTTCGGGTCTCTCTTTTTGCCATCCTTGCCTTGTGGGGTGGACCCTCTTTACACTTCAGTTGTGGAGCTTATAGAATTCTTTAACACACAGTCACTCGCTGTCCAGTGCCAGCCCACAAGCAGCCCCCAGAGCCTCAAGCATTGCCAAATGCTGTGTTTATTGGTCTGTTACAGTGAAGAGTATAGTTTCTGAGCCAAAAAACATACACACTCTGCTCCTCAAAAAAAAACAAAACAAAAAAACAGTCACTAAGGCAGGCACACAATGGCCACGGTGCTTGGTGGAGGCCAAGGACTCATGGACAACAAGGGCTGGCAATGGGGTGGGCTGGCCCCCAAACAGGTCGTGCAGTGCCCGAGGCGGCAGGTGGGAGGGGTAGGGTGCAGAGCTGGGGAGGCTGTGCTGGATGCAGAAGGGCTGCTGGGCCCTTTTTCATGTTTCTCAAATGCAGGAAGTCTCTAGACCTTAGTGACTGCTGGGCAGGCCTCAGCCCCTGTGGCAGAGTGGCCGGCCTCCTGGCCCCAGAGCAAGGCCTAGCCTGCCTGTGTTGGGTGGTGGGGACAGAGATGATAGAGCAAGCAGCGTGCCTAGGCCTGGGGTCAGGAGAGGGGCCCTTTCTAGCACCCCACATGAGTGAGGCTCTTCCAGGGGGGCTTTCTGGGTCCCTAAGTCTCTCAGCATCCTGAGAAGCATGTGGAAGCCTTGCATCTCACCAGGGACAAACAAGGGAGGTCCAGGATCCCCGCCCAGCCTCAGGGAGTCAGCAAATGCCTGGGACGGATGATGGGCTGCCCCCAAGCTCCAGGACCACCTCCAAGAGGGCTGTGACAGGACTTCCTCCCTAAAGAATCAATCTGGGATTCCTCTTGAGAGGAAGTGCTCCCACCACATTCCAGATCCTCTGGCTGCCAAAGCATCATTTATAGTTTTCAGGGATGCATCTAATGCATAAAGCAAGAGCGGGGTGGCAACAGTGAGACTCTACAGATACGTGTGGGTGCACTGCATGAGCTGGGGGAGTGCGTGGGGTTACCTCAGGTGGCCAAAGGCAGTGGCAGTGCTGCTGAGGTGGGCGACTCCACCCAGGGCCCAACTTCTGACTGCCCCACAGCCTCAGAGGAGGGCCCGGAGGCGGCCCAGTTCTCCTGAGCCCAGGAAACGTGCCCAAACTGGCCGTGAGGTTGGTGTGCCCACATTCATAAGGCCTGCAAAGGGACTCTCAGAAGAAATACAGCACAGAGTCCCCTTGCCCCACACGACACTCGCCAGATGGGGCCCAGGCAACTACAGCCTGATAACTTCTGCAGGACCCCAGGCTGACCCAGGAAAGTCTGTGGGGAGCAGTCTAGGCTGCAGGTGGCAGTGGGCTATTCTCAGGTTTTTGCAAGGGGAGCAGAGTAGGTGTTCCCCAAGGCAGCTGCTCCCTGAGGCCGACGACCCTTCCCATCCTGGCCCTGACCTGAGGGCACCCTGGCCCCTGACTCGCCAGAATTTCCCAGAGTCGGATCCCAGGCTCACAAGCACTTTGTTAGGAACACAGTTAGGGGCAGGAAGGGTGGGCTGGGGGTTGAGGCAGTCTCCGCCTGACCGCCCCTGCACCTCCTCTCCCTGTGGGGGCCCAGGGACTGGGAGCCCAGGCTCTGGCTGGCTGCTGCCTCCTGGCCACAGCCCTCATTTGTTCTCAATGAGCATCTGCACCTTGTGGACGAGGTCCCGGGCAATCCGCAGGATCTCCTGGGCATCGTGACGCTCAGCCCGTTCTGGGGGAAACATGGATAACTGTGGGGATGCCAGAGCAAGGGCAGTTCTGGGAGGAGCCCTCTGGTTGCCCACCCTGCTCCATTTCTACCTGCTGGACTCCTGACATCTGCTTAGAGGGAAGGCACCCGGTATTTCTGAGCCCTTCCAACCCCTGCTGCGCGGCATCTGGCCGCTGGCAGCCGCGCTCCAGCCCTCTCCCATCTCCTCGAGGCCCCTATGCCCCTGCTGGGGGCAGCCAGGATGGCTGGACCAGCTCCTACCATTGAAGAACTTGATGATGTCGGTGAAGTCCATGTTGTTGTCACGGATAATCTCACGGTAGGCCTCCACCAGGGCCAGGGCAATGAATAGGACAAAGTGCTCTGATGAGATGTGCCGGGCCGCCCAGATCACCTCCCACACAGCAAACACATCCTCATACAGCAGTTCTGGGGACAGCAAGGGGCTAAGGCTGAGCATGGCTGCCCAGGGGCCCTTAATGGAGCCATATGTGGAGACCGAGCTCCAGGGCCAAAGTCCTGGGGTTCTCTCCACTACACACAGCCCAGTCCGAAAGAGGGTTTCCATGCCCCAGGCCAAGACCCTGTCCTTCTCCTTGGTAACTTCTGCACACCAGCCTCCTGCAGACTCCACACCACACTGTCTTCAGCTAGAAAGGCTCTACTTTTGTAGACCTTGGTGCTCAGGAGATTTGGTTTGAAAACAGTTCCGAAAACCATTGCCTGAGGGTGATTTTCCACCCTGGCTGCACTTTGGAGCTTTTAAAATCTCCATGCCCATGCAGCCAGAGTAGTGGGGCTCAGGGCTCTGAGGTTTCTAAAAAGCTCCCCAGGTGGTTCCAAAGTGCAACTAGGGTTGGAACCAGACTTTGGGGAAGAGGGATCTCCCAGTGGCCCTGATCCCAGGCCCACCATCCAATCTGTCTCTTACCTCTCTTAAAGTCCAGCAGAAACCAGCGGTAACAGAAGTAGAAGTGGGTGTAGTCTCCATTCTGATGCATCAGTTCAAAGAGCTCTGAGTCCAAGATCTTGTGTGAGTGGAGAAAGGGAGAAGGGCTGAGAGGCTGCCTCTCCTGGCTGCCCCCATCCTCCACCAGCCCTCCTGCTGCACGGCCTCTGGCACCTAAGAGCTGCGCTCCAGCCCTCTCCTGTCTCCTGGAGGCTGCTCTCTGCTGCCCCACCTGCTGTCTGTCTGGGTTATACTCTTTTTGGAGTTATACCATTTTCTGGGTATTTTGATTGCATCCTAGATTGCCCTACTCACCAGGACATTCATGAACACGGGCATTCACATATTGACATTCCTCCTCAATTTATAATATTGAAAACAATGTGTTTTTCAGAAACAAACTCATAGATACAGAGAACAAACTGATGGCTGCCGGATGGGATGGGGGTTAGGGGGCTGGGTGACAAAGGGGAAGAGATTAAGAAGTACAAATTGGTAGTTACAAAATAGTCATGCAGATGTAAGGTACAGCAGAGGGAATATAGTCAATAAAGTTGTAGTAACTATATATGAGCCAGGTGGGTACTAGATTTATGGGGGATCACCTCGTAAGTTACATAAATGTCTAACCATTATGCTGTACACCTGGAACTAATATAATATTGAATGTCAACCACAATTGGAAAAAGAAAACAATGTGTTTTTAAAATGGAAGAAATTAAGCTTATACATAAAGGACATTTTTAGAATGCTCCCTGGCCTCCCTGTGGACCATGGGTAAGCCCAATGGTGCCTGGTCACGTGCCCCCAGGCAGCTACAGACCTCACCTGGATGAGGGAGCGCATGTTAGCAAAGTAGGTGTCCATGGCGCCCCCGTTGGGGAAGTTCTGGCTCATCCTCTTCATGAGGTGGCTGAAACAGCTGTAGGCCAGCTGATCTGAGGGGAGATGGGAGTGAGGCCACAGGGTAGGAGACCCCAACACTTCACAGGGGGTACCCTGTGGCCCGGAGGACAGGGCTGCCTGACATTCCCACCCTTCTAGACCTAGTGGTCTTCTTTTCCTTTTTCCAGCTTATGTCAGTCCAACCCTGATACCATTTTGGGAACACCTACCCCTTCCCTAGCCCCATCCCTCACCATTGTCAAGGATGACCAGGAGAGGTGCCAGCAGGTCACACATGCCCTGCACGTAGCCCACGTCCAGGTGTTCCCACACGTAGCTGAAATGCCAGAGACAGAGTCACTGTGGATGTGTGCCATCCTCCCCTCCCCTCAGGGATCCCTGGGGAGACAGCCCCTTCTGGTAACCCTAAAGCACTGGGAATACAATGGTGAGCAACCCATAGCCCGTGTCCTCAAGACACGCAGGGGCTCCGGGTAAGAGACAGTGCTGGGGCAGGGGAAGCCCTGGGGTGAGGGAAATCAGATGAGGCTTCCAGAAGTATGGCTGACGCTGAGATCCGAAAGGCCTCTAAGAATGAAGAGGGGTGGGGCAGAGGGCACTGCAAGGAAAAGGTGTTCCAGACAAAGTGTAATTCAGATGCAAGGGAGAGCAGCAGGGCGCCCGGGGGCCTAACGTTTCAGAGCAGGGTCCCTGCCTCCCGCCCTGAACCCTGCGCTGGACCGGCACCTGCACATGATGTCTCTGAGCCTCTCGAGGTTGGGGGATGAGAAGTACCAGTAGTTGCGGTCACATCGCTGCACGTCCTTGTCTATGCGGTGCAGGTTTAAGGCCACAGTGTCCAGGAGTTCTATCTGAAAGAGTGGAGGACCCTGAGCTGGGGGCCGGAGGTGGTGCCCACATAAAGGAATGCAGCAAAGAAAGGGAGCCAGGGGACTCAGAGAACTGAAGCCTCTGGGGATGCGGAGAGAGGGGCCCAGGGCCTCCTCCAGGACAGTCAGGGCACCCCCACCTTCCACCCGCGAGCCTGCCCCCAGGCCTCGGGACAGCAGGAAGGCTCTGGGGCCCGCTGAGAACGGTGCCTGGGGAATGGCCACATACAGTGTAGGCAGCAGCGCACACAGCCGCAAGCTCTTCCCCTGCCTCCAGCTCGCTGGCCTGCGGGGCCTTCTCCTGGCTGGGATCTTGGGCCTCGGAGAAAGCGTGGACTGCAGGCACCGGCCCGTCAGAGCTTTCCTCCCCAATGCCGTCCTCCTCCTCGAAGCCCACATTTGGCCCCTCATCTATGCTTGACTGGATGCCCGACGCCATGGAGTAATTGCGAGAGGAAGGCAGTCCCGAGTCCGGAGAGTCAAACTCCACTGACTGCTGCTGTTCCACCATGGCGGTGCCAGGGGGCTCTGTTCCTGGTTCCTGTTCAGGCTCTGGTCTGGAATCTTCAGTGCCCAGGGGCCTTGGAGGCTCCAGGTCATCCACAGAGATAAACACCTGGTGGGAGTGAACAGATGTTGGGGCTCATGCCTGCATTCCAGCACCTTCCCTCAGTTCATCACCGTCTCCTTCCTGGGGTCAGAATGAGAGGGATGGAGAATTCTCTTCACGCCCCCTACTCCCACCCCATGGCCTCCAACACGGCCTCCGCTGGGCACCAAGCCTCCCCTTCTGACCCAGGTAACCAGGTGGAGAGAAATCAGGCTCCAAGCAAACATGAAGATACCATCTCCAGCCCTATCCAGTCCCCTCCTCCGGCTTCTTCCTGGGGCAGTAGGAAAAGTGGGAAGTACTCCAGGCTTCCTGGGGCTGCTCCAGGGCAGAAGGGGAGCTGGAGGCCGGGACAGTCAGTGCCACTCCATGGCCAGTGTGAGCTGTGTCACTCTACAAACAGCTGAAGTCATGAGGCTGCCTCAGGTCAGGGGAGCTTCCTTAGTGTCTTGGTGTCTTAGCTGCTGGGGCAGCCTGGGGGACAGCAGGCTGGAGGCATTAGGAAAAACAAGCTCTCCCTTACTTTCAGGACTGAAATGTTCAGCAGAACAAGGCAGGAAACTTCTCTAGCAAGTACCTAACCAGTTATATTAGCTTCAGACAAGCTGAGGAAAAGTAAGAAGTAAAAGGAAACACAAGCTGCTGATTGGAAATAGTCTACCACCATGGACAAGTCACAGGGAAAAGAAGAGACATGCACATTGTTGTTGTTTTTTGTTTTTTTTCCTATTTGGACTATCTAGGTAAAGGGATGCTAAGAGGAGTTTCCACCTTGGGCAAGAAGCATGAATGAAGTGTTGCTGGGTTCCAGTATCTGGTAAGGCCATGGTGCTTAGGCAGTCCAGAGCCTCAGAACCGTGCCAGCAAGGAAGGCTACTGCTGCCCATAAGCTAAGCAGCTGGGGCACTGGTCCAGACCCGGGATTTGCAAAACCCAAAGCCAGAGAGAAAGAGAGTATGTTCATGAATAGGGATTAAGAACAAAACACTTGAAAGGAGAGTGTGCCTTCGTAGTTATATTCCTTTAAGTCTTGCTCCAGCTTGAGTTTTCTGTTAACATTAGTAAGGATTTAGTAAAGTAAGGAGAATACAAATTATCTAAAGAGGCAATTTTAAAGAAAAAACATTAACGTTAGTAAAAGAGTGTCCTTAAAACTGAGACTTCTTATCACTTCTGGTTGGGCCTAGCAGCCATAGTTTGGGACTTGTTCACTGAAAGGCAGGGGTGATGCCACAAAAACTAGGCAGGTTCTGAACTGGCTTTGCAGAGTCGATTCTGTAAGATGGTGAAAAACACCATGGTGGAGATCTTGCCAGTAGACACCAACGGGACCACTCTAAGTTCTCCCCTCGTCTCTGGCCAACAGCTCTCAGTGAAGGATAGCAGAGCTAAGAGGGGACACTGAGGCCCAGATAGGGGAAGACAAGTCCCTCATCTTGTTAGCCGCGGACCCGGGACTAGAACCCAGGGCTGCCTATTCCTAGCCTTGAGGTGTCTCTACAGGAAGGAAGGCTTCCCTAAATGCACAGCAATTCATCTTTCCCCACTAGTCCATTAAAACGGAACACAATGCACTATCTCACTTTATTCCTGCAATACCAAGAGACGTGGGCAGCAGCGGGGACAGTCGTCCCATTTTTCAGTGGAAGAAAATGAGACACAGACACATTAAGCCATTCTCCCAGGACCCCACTGCCCGTCAGTACTAGAGGTCGGGCTGGTGCTCAGGACTCCTGCGTGTAAAACACTGGTGGCTCCCGCCCTGGCCTCACCAGGTCCCGTCTGACTCACGTCATTGCTGATGGTGGAATCCCGGTGGATGAGGTGCTGCACGTGGCTGTCGATGCTGCTGCCCGAGGAGAACTTGGTGAGTGTGGCTGGGTGAGCCTCCCGCTCCCGCTGCCTCACCACCAGCTCGCAGGCCTTCCACTCCGTCAACACCTGCTGGTATCTCGCTGCCACCACTGTGTCCACCTGTACTTGGACCACACCATGACCATGGGGAGGGGTGCTCTAAGTCCTCCTCTGCAGGGGCTGGGATAGCTGGAGACTGGGCTTGGGCACAGGGGTGAGGACAGGGGTGCCGCTCAGCTACCATCTTCCTCTGCCACGTTTCTTTCTGGCTGGAAAGGGGCTGAGCCTTCCAAGGCCACCTCCCTGGGGTCCCTTGGCCCGGCTCCCCATCTCCCTATCCCCATGGGAATGGGCTCCCCTTACTTGCTCCATCTCCTTCTTGCTCATGCCAAACTTGTAGTGGCCAAGCAGAAAGGGCCAGACGTCCTTGCGGATCTCGTGCTCCACGCCTCCATAGTAAACTTGCCGCAGCAGCTCCAGCTCCTTGTAGTTCTGAGGGACCCAGGGAGTGAAGGCTGTGCAGCCCCCACAGTCACTGTGGCCCCGCTGGGTGACCCCATCCCATGAAGAGCTGGGGCTGGGGACAGTGACCCAGTCACTCTGCTGAAGCCCAGGCAGATCCTGCTTTGGGGTCGTCACATCCTCCCTGCCCCAGGTTTGAGCTGGATGAGATTCATTTCAACACCACCCTCCTTCCATGGCAGAAACGGAGCCCAGAGAGATGCAGAGATTTGCCCAACACTGCAGAGTAATGTGGAAGCAGAACAGACTCCCCATCCAGTCCGCTTCCCAGGGAAACCCACAGCCCCAGCCATGAGGTTCTACCATGACCCGGGCGGCTCCAACGACATCAGCCTGGCCTGTCAACCCCAGCCCCTACTGTGTTTTACCTGAATGCCCATTTGGTCTGTGAAACCTGGTCCCAGAGCGGACTGCTCTGCACTCACCCCCCACCGCCCGCCCCAGCCCCTTGACCTGACCTCTGGCTCTGACACCCCAGAGTGTGTACCTTTTCGTCCTTCTGATACTTGCTCCACACATCCTTCGTGAGGCCCCCTGAAGCCCCTGGGGGCTGGGCGGGTGGGATGATGTTGTGATGCACCAGCGCCGACAGGTGGGTCCGCACAGTGTACAGGTGGCGGCAGTACGCCAGCCCTGGGGTGGGGAGGGAGCCAGGCAGCCATGACCGCAGTGTCTCCCCCTGCCCTCACCGCCCCCCACGGCCCCACCTCGCCCCACACTCACAGCCGTAGAAGGCCCGGGACACGATCTGCCTCCGCATGCTTTCACACAGTAGCCGGAGGGGCAACCTGCGGAATCGACCTGACTCAGAGGGCTACGGCTCCTCTGGTGGGAGGAGAATGAGGGACTTTCTGGGTGGTGTGGGGGTTGGGGGGCAGCTAAGGCGCTCAGGGTGGTGCAGGGAGCAGGATGTCATTGGACACAGCCTGGCAGCATGTCATTGGGCTCCCCGTTGCTGCCAGCCACCCTGGGTAGAGCTGCTGGGGGACCCAGCCTGGCCTCCAACCACACAGGGGACCTTGGGCAACTAGCTTCACTTCATGTTAGTGAATTCCGGTTTCCTCATGTGAAAAATGGAGAGAACCATCTCAGGGTTATCAGGTAACAAATGAAGTAACAGGTAAAAGTGAGCAGCAGCAAAAGCATCAAGTGCCAGGACATGATCCTCACACAAACACCATCCCCATGCCATTCCTGGCACATGGCAGATGCCCGGTTATCTGGTGTGTGTTCCCAGACATAAAGCCTGACAGGAGATCTATGTCCACACTAGGAAGGGGAGCTCACAAGTATTGAGCACTTACTGCATAGCTCTGGGTCCTCACATGGGTTATATACCTCATTTAATCCTCACAAGAACCTTAGGAAGCAGGTGGTATGGTCCCCATTTCACAGATGAGGAAACTGAGGCTCAGAAATGTAGAGGCTCATAGAGACTCAGTAACTTGCCAAAGTCACATGCATAGCAGAAGTGAAATTTGAGCCCAGGTCTGCCCAACTTGAGGCCACTCTGTCAGGCAAGTGACACAGGGCAGACTGACACATGCAAATGGATGGACACCTTCACAGGGAGCTGGTGTCCTGGATGTTGCTCACTCACCGGTCAGGGACACAGCTGCAGTGGCTGGGAGTTACATATGGAGAGCTGCTGGTGGAGCAGGAGAGGCAGGACGAGCTCTGGTTGCAGAGGGGCTGCGGGTGCCAGGCTGGCAGGCCGGGCCCAAAGCCCTGCATCTCAATCATGTCTCCAGTATCTGAGGGCAAAAAGGGGACCATGGTCGGGGCCTGGCAGGCTTCCACCCCCAGGCACCCTGCAGCATGCCCACCTCTGTGCCCAGAGCTGCAGCAAGAAGTCACCCGTTGGTGGAGAACCACAGTGGTGGTGCCTGCCTGGTCCAGGGTCCAGAGATGGCAATGGTGGAGAGAGAGAGAGTGCCTGACAGTTCCCAGCCTCGTAATAAAATACTTTGACTAAGTCATGGTTGATTGTGTCTTTTCTCTCCATCTTGCTATCAGCAATAGAATAAACACACGCTATTCTAGAGGAAGGGGAAAGAGAAGGAACAACAAAAGCTTGAGCTCCCTAAAACGCCACCGGCTAGCTTGGCCTTCAAGGATTCAGCCTGGTCCTCTTGGGTAAATGCTGAGATGCACAGGAAGGTGCCTGGAGTGGAATGCTGCAAACTTCAAACCTTCCTATGCTAGCAGTCTTCACTGATCAAAGCTTCTGAAGACCATTGAGTGTTCTAGACCTAGTGGCCAGTGGATCCTACCACTGTTCCCTGCCCAGGCCAGGTGCCCCTGCTGCCAGCTCCTGTGGGTCCTTTCTGAGTTCTCTATCCTTGCCTAGCCTGACTGCACTCAGCACAGTGGCCTCCTACAAACAAACAGATGAGCTGGCAGGAAGGGCATTCCCAGGGCTGCCAGGCCACTGCAGGGATGAGGGTGGTGGCTGGGCACACAGTTCCACCATCCAGAAGAATGTCCCCAGGCGCAGCCTCAGAAGACAGCTCCTTGGACATGTCTACACCACCAGTAGATGGAGCCTTCTCAGCCAATCCAGCTAGTCTGAATGAGAACTCAAGACGCTTGAGAGCTTCTAGAGCCCAGGTCGGGCAGGGCAGTGCTCATAGGGGATTCTGGAAGGCCCAGTGAGCCACAAAGATGAAGCGAAGTGAGGGCAGGAAGTGAAAGGACCAGGAGATGATGCCAGGAGGAGGGAGAGAGCAGAGAAGAGTGAAGAACAGGGAAACAGAGCGCTGTATGTGTGTGATGAAGACTTCCTTCAAGCAGTATTTCTTTCTGCAAATGGTGGCCTGAGCCCTGGCCTGCTGAGCCTGGAGCAGACCTAGGCCTGGTTTCTGTGGGAGCCATACTCCAGCTCTGGCTGTGCCTCGATGGGAAGGGCTGAGCGGAGCCCCCTCCAGTCCCCTCAGGGGCTGCCCTGTCTTGACGCTGCCTTCCCAGGCCCACAGCTGGGATTTTTGTAGAGATCTGGCCCTTCAGCTCCACCAGGAGGCAAATTAAGGGAACATACTTGGTGTGGAGGGGCTGCGGCTCTGGGAGTGAGGGATTGCAAGCCATGCCCAAGACTGTGGGAAGAAGAGGTGGGGGGACAAATGCAGGTGGGGTGGGACAGGTGAGCCCAGCTCATAGCCTTGCAGCAGGCAGGATGCCAGTCGTGCGAGGAGCCGGGGCAGGAGCAGGCCCAGCCAGGCAG